TATATATAATTAGTACGCGTTTTACTATATAGGTCCTAGATATCTATACTTGTATATATATATCGTTTAATTATAGATATCTATATACTATATATATATATATATAACCCCTGCTAGCAGTTATCCTAGTAGTAGCGAACGAACGGATAACAACTTATATTCGAAATTAATAACGCCTGGGGGGGGCGACTTACGTATAGTTCTTATACTTATTATCTAGAATAACGTCGGCGGTACAGTGGTGCGGTAGAGTGTTATTAGTCCGGAAAGATAGGTAGTATCGTTGCCCGGCGTGACTAATGCCGGGATTCGGCAGCTGCCTAAACCTTAAATTGCCCTAGTAGGGTAAATTTACTTTCTCTCTCTCACTTCACTACCTTACTACAACACCTCTACAACACCCGTACCTCCGTACCTTCACTAGCGCCGTCGATACCTACCTTCGTAATCAGACCGAGTTCTTCTTCAACTACTATACTAACATTAGAAACCTTACTATGCCGAAACGCAAGAGCAATGCCCCAGAGGCACTAGCAAACAAGCGCGCAAAGCTCGGCGCAGCCTCGAAGTCACTCGAGGAGTACTCCCTCAAGCCAAACACTTTACGAGACCGAGAGCGTACTGCCGCTATAGACGAAGAAAAGAGGGTATAGGATCGATACCGCAAAGCGCGCAACGAATCCTTCGCGCGATTCAAAAAGGCACAAATCAAGGAGTATACGAGTTTCGAAAGCCTCGCTAAAGATAAGCAACAGGAACTTATCGAGGGCTGGAGAAAGATACATACAAAGGAGTATGATCAAAAAGCGTAAGTGCAAATGTGGTCGGCGGATATAGTCGGCAGATTTGAGTACTAACTTCTGATTTAGTATAAAGAAGCAGACTGGAAAGAGTACAACACTTCCTCCCGATAAGCAGGCAAAGATTGATGAAGCCGACTGGTTTCTCGAACTCGGCGATATCGACTCTAAGGAACGATTAACATTCCAGAAAGAAGACCAGATTAAGTGGGAATAGGAGTATCTATCTGTTGGCGAGGAGTGCGACAAAGGGGTTGGCGGCCTTAGCAACTATTGCCTTCCCTCGGAATCAGTTCTTAATCCATTCTCGACTCTACAGATAGAGGAAGCGAGGGCTAAGTCCATTGGTACCTTTGCTATCCAGGCATCCTCTTCCACTTTTTCGACGGCCCACAATCAATAGCGCTCTTCTATTCACCACTTCTGGGACAAGATTGTTATCCTTGAGAACCTGGATATACCAAATGAGAAAGGCATGAAAGAGGTCTTGAAAATCGTTGGCAGCGAGACAATGAAGGTAAATATCTGCCGACCATATTTGCCGACTACAGAAACTAATCACAATTCCAGATTTGTATTAAAGAAGTCCGAATGCCATTACTACATAAGATCTTCTCGCCTATTGAGCGAGCCGTTTGCCGGAATGTCCTATCGTAGGATACCAAAGCTCAAGCCTACTATAGAGGGCGATTGCTAGGCCCTTCTTGGCTCATTCCCGCTACCTACGACTATGCAGCTAACGGCTTTTTGCCTTTAAAGACAATGAAGGAGAACAAGCATCTCGCAAAGATAGCGTACAAGATGTGCGAGAAAGAGAACTCTCTTACGAAGGAACAGACAATGTGGCTAGCAGTAATGGAAAGCCTTATCTATTGTGGCGTAAAAGAGTATACTGGTATTACTCTCGAAGCTATCCTGCTCCTCCTCCTCCAAGAAGACGAACTCTGCCTCTCGATTTCTGGTCTCGAGGAACTGGTTGAGAAGGACAAGAGACTGGCTACCCTTGTTAAAGTTTAAGACTAAGAAGCGGAAGCGATAGGTAAATAGCAAGCGACGCCTGAACTAGGGTTTCGATAGGTTGGCTCGGATGTAGCAGAATGTCGGCATATCCTATTGGCTATACCCTTGTTATAGCGTAACACTATGATTGAGTACAGGAAATTCTCTTTCTTTTTCCCCTTTCTACTCCTACTTCTTCAAGATACCTCTGGACTTTTACGCTATTGTCGTCTATCTACTATGTTTTCGTCCTCCTTCTCGTCCTCCCTAGGAGTAGGAAGCTCCCGGCTCGAATCCTCCTCCCAGCCCGATACCTCTTCCGGGACCCCTACGCGATCGAGCGCACGGCTACGCCAGCGCTATAGGACGACACTCAACGCGCCATCGAGTCTAACACTAGGTCGACGCCGACGACAACCTGACGTTAGGCGGCGTAGAACGAGACGGCCGAGTCCAGTAGAAGAGGAACTAGATAGTTCCCTTATTCTCCCTGTCGAGCCTGATTATGTAGGAGAGTAGGATATCAAGTCAAATTGCTAGCTATGGAGGCTTAGGTATAAGGACAACTTTGAGCGTTGGTACGAGGTACGGTAGTGGAATTATACCGGAAAGCGCCTTAAAAAGCGGAACGGTCGTACTATGTTCGATCGGTCCCCAATTACCTAGGGGAGTAAGTCTCGGATATCTTAGGTATAGGATTTCCTAGAGGAGGGAATACTTCAAGAAGATGCGACGCCTAAAGTCGTATACAGATGCTGTAACGCTGTACTAAAACACCCAGCACTAAATACTAGTACAACATCTGTCGAGAAGCATCTCGACTCCTCGAACTGCTAGGAGAAACAAGATGAGCGAGGGTTTACAAAGGAGATGTTTACGGCCGCGAAGCATCGACAGGTAAGTACTAACTAACGCCGACTATACCTGCCGACCACGTCTGCCGACTACGTCTAGCTACTTATACTAAGACGATATTTCTAGACTGTTAGCAATCCACGGTAGACAAGGGACCTAGGCTACACACCAGACGATTTCCCGCGCCTATGCTTTGAGATGATTGTCGACAACGGTCTACTATTCCAGTTCTTTGAACGACCCTCGGTGAAACAGACTTATATAGCACTACTTCCGGGACAGGTCGAGACAATTCCGTTCAAATGCGCGTCGACATACCGAAGGATGCTCGATACTAAGGTTATAGACTCCGCCGACTCCCTTAAAGCCCGTCTCGCTAGAAGATTCAAGATAGCTATCGCGTGTGATGGTTGGCAATCCAGGACTATAAAAACCTCATTCCTAACTATACGGGTCTACTGGATTGACGACCAATGGACTTAGCACGAAGGGATGCTTGGTTTCCCTTATATTACTAGCCGTTATACTGGTGATCATCTTGCGGAGATACTATTCGAGATCTTACAAGAGTTCGAGATTGAGCGGCGATTAACTGCTATTACGTGCGACAACGCCTCTAACAATAAGACGCTACACAATGCGATGTAAGGACACTTGCTATACTATTATTACTCTCCTCTAATATTCTATAGTGTTTCAGCGATTGATACTTGTCAAGAGAGGTACGGTATAACGGTTACTAAGCTACTAACGAGCTTGGAGCAGCTACCTCTCTATCCAGGTACGGAGACTAGTCCCGAATCAGAGATAGGAGAGGAAGAGGAGGAGGCAATTGCGGAGTGTGATCGAGGTAGCCGTCCGGAGCGATTTCCCTGCTTTGCCTATACTGCTCAACTTCCCCTAAAGGCCTTTTTCGACCGCCTAGGGCTTTGTCCTACGAACGACCTTTCCGAATTCTGGGATTACGACAAGGATAGAAAGATATTACAGAGAAGAAGAGTCCAGAGCAAGCAAATCAGCCGTCCTTAAGCTGATAGTATGCCCTATCTTCTTTTGAAGGTAAGATTAGTGTCTACGCCTAATAAACTATGAACCCTTCTACCTCGAAAGTATAGTCGACTCGCGTGGTCGGCAATTATAGTCGGCAGTTCGTTACTCTAGCTAATCTTGATCTCTAGATCCGGAAGCTTTGCGTCTTTATTAACTCGAGCTCCTAAAGGTTCGAACAGTTTATCGACCTCTAGAAAGAGATGCTTTAAAAGAAGCAGCCATTTGCAAAGCACCGTCGGTAGAAAGGCGTTCAAGATCGTATCCTAAGGGTCGTTCAAGACGTGAAGACAAGGTAGTCCTTAACAACGTTAATGCTCGATCGCTTTAGCAGACTCTAAGTGGTTATTGAATCTTATATCGAGCGACTTGACCTGGGTGAAGACATAGGTATCGATTCCGAAGAATAGCAAAGGGTAGAGTACCTTATCGACCTTACGAAACCATTTGCAGCGGCGACAGCGGTGATTGGAACTACGAAAGGTCCGACGATTCACCTTGTCCTCGTATACTACAACAAGCTTTTCGATATTCTGGAGGAGGCGATGAAGCGACTCAAGAATAAGCGGATACCCTAGAAGAAGGATGTCTTTCAGGCATGCGAGGCTGCTTGGGCTAAGCTAGAGAAATATTATCGAGATACCTGGGATCGATTTGGCGATTACTACGGTATTAGCGTCCTCCTTACCCCCTGCCTTAAGCGGAAGTTCTAGGTACGCGATGACTTTGGGGATGAAAGTTACCGCGCGTATTACGAGGGTAAGCTAAGGGCAGAGTGGGAGAAGAGCTATCGTTCATTATCGAGTACCTCTACCTAGCAGGGCCGTTTTGGAAGGAGTCGGCACAAAGGCTATATCGACTTTACTCTTAGTAGGAGTATAGAGTCTTCTCAAAGTCAAAGACGCAGCACTAACGAGGATGACGAGCTCGCCGACTATTTGGACGCTGATATGGATGAAGGGGATCCATTCGAGGTACTAAAGACGTGGTCTTCAATGGAGTCTAAGTACCCTACTCTCGCATTGATGGCGCGGGATATTCTCTGTATTCCTGCCGCCGGAGTTAGGTGTGAGCGCGATTTTAGTATCGCTCGACACCAAAGTCGTTTCAATCGCCAATACACCGCAGCAACATTCTCTGGATTGATGGTATCTCGTTTTCGCTATCGGGACGATAAGTACGATGCTAGAGTTCTTATCGCCTAGGAGGCTACAGAGGTTTCCTAAGCGCTTCTTAGTACTCTAACTTCACAGGAGATCCTTAGTGAAGACCGAGAGCAGACGAAAGATCTTATGGAACGGATCAGTAACTTAGATGCGATTAGCGATAACGAGGGTGATGTAGTAGAGGAGCCAAGGCGATCAGTACGCCTAAGCTTCAAGCTTGCGCAAGAGTGCCTCCGGGATGCTACGAGACGATTATAGGGAGATTGCTTTAAGCTTGTATGAAGTTTACCTGCCGACCATATTTGCCGACTATATTTCTTAAGATTCAAAATATCACAACTTGTAGCATAGCGTATATATAATCCTGAGCTTCTTCATTCAATTTAACTATAATCTTCACTTTCGTATCTATATCGGGTTTATATACAGTTTCTTTTCTTATGCCTAGTCCAAATAAATCGCTTCTTCGCTCTCGTTAGGGCACCCGGTTTCTGGGTTTTTTATTTCTATATACGAAGATTCAATACCCAATGGGTACGCAATACCCACTAGGTATCGCAATACCTACTGGGTTTGTACCCAACCCGATGGGTTGGGTATACCCAGCTAAATACCTATACCCATTGGGTATTGCCAATACCCAACCTACCCCACATACCCACCAGGGTGGGTTGTACCTATAATGAGGCCTAGGTATTATATAGTTGGTTAAGGTACTCCCGGGAGGTAACGTTGCTATAGTAGTCCTTCTCGATATAATTAATAGTTACCTTCTCCTTGAATTCCGCCTAGTTGTTACCGGGTAGGTCGAGGCCTTCGATCTTAGAGCGGGTAACTATATCGTATTTAAGAAGAAAATCGTTAATAACCTCCTTTTCGTCCTTACTTATATAGTACTTGTCCCTTATTATCTCGTAACGACGGAGAGCGTCCGTAATGTTGTTTCCGTTAAATATAAGGTTGCCGTCGGTACTAGGTATAGGCGGCTCCTTCGTAGACCTCTCGCTCCTTTCGGTAATTTTCTCTATTATACTAGCGACGCCGGAGGTTATCGAGGATATAACGTTTTAGTTCGTTACGAGGAGCTCTATAGCCCGGTACTATTCTTCCGCGCTTATCGGTTTCGGCGTAGTAGGATAAGCAGAGCTACTCGACGGAGTTAACGTAGGTATAGACGCCGAAGGTCTAGCCGCGGCTAGTCCGGATCTAGATACTATATTAATAGAGCGGTTTCGGATCGAGATATTAAGCTGTCGATCGTACTCGTCCGAGTCTATAGAGGCGTTCTTAATCGAGTCGGTATAGTAGGGGCTATTAGTAACGGGGTCGGAGTGTTCGGTAGCTAATATCGTTCTCGTTCGTTAGTACGTATATATACGGGTTCGGTACGTTCTCGTTCTTTAGTATATATATATATATATTCGTCTTTAGTCTTGTTTTCTGTCTTAATCTCCTCGACTATATATAGTAGTACTTTAATCCTACTCCTTTCGGTTAGGCCCTAGGGGCCTAACCAAATCCTAACCCCTTTCGGTACCTATATTACAGTTAGTACAACTCAAATCCCGAATCCCCTCTTCCGTTCTGTAATATTAGTCGGCCGCTTGTTCTTGCAGCCTATACCTCGCCGTCGGCCTCCCCGTAACGTCTATTATCTCTAAGGCTAAAGACCCCTTTCCTCTAACGTCGCGTTAATCACTTTTCCCTACCTTATATTCATAACCGTATTATATCGTAGCTTGCCCTATACCTGATTAGGAACTATACCCTTCCTTATACCGAATTAGGAACTATGCCCTACTATATCGTATCGTACCTTAACCTTATACCGTATTACCTAGTATAGGAACTACGCCCTAGGAACTGCGCCTAATTAATCTCAAACTTTGTTGTTTAATACTATACTTTCTCGTACCGCGTTATAATAGTCTCCTTTTTAGAGTCAAACGCGTTCCCTATCTCCTATCCTATCCCCTATACCTATCCCTTTTTGCCCTCCTCCTCTAACCTACAACTATTCCTACTCTTGCATTTTGTATATAATAGCCCTACCTTTGGCTCTATTTATTACCGTAAAGCCCTCTCTCCTACTACCGTCCTCGAGTAGACGATCGGATAGGCCCGGCTTACGGTAGGTCGCGGCGTAGCTCCGCGGTAAAAGGGGTAAGATAGGTAGAGGTCCGGAAGGACGTAGAGATGCCCGTAGATAGCGGGAATAGTAATATTAGAAGACAAAGCGCACTATAGGGTAACGACATCAATTATAGTAGAGTAGGTATCCGTACGTCTACGTCCTGATTATGTCCGTCCTCTCCTCCGTCCTAAAAAGAAGAAAACTACCCTATATAGCTACCCGCCGGAAGTAGTACGGCCCTCCCGGGCCGTCCGGCTCTCGGCTCTACCCCGACGCCCTACGTAAAAGAAACACGCCTAGCCGCTCAATACTATATAGGTACTTAATCGATATACTTCTTAACCTTCTTATCAAATAGGCACTTTCTATATACCCGGTACGAAATGTATACTTTACAATCCGCTACTATAGCTATACCCTTTTTACGGTATAGTTTATATACACCCCTAGGGCGACTAATACTAAGCTCTTGTATACGACCTGTCCTCGTCTATCGATAGGTATTATCGATAAGCTTTGCTCTAGCAATAGTACGACGGCTAGCCTCGTTTGCTATCTATCGCTCCTTAGAGATTAACTACTATTTATCCTATATAGTAGGGCGACGAAAGTCGAACCTTAAACCTATAGGACGACTAATACGTCTCTTCTCTAAAGCAATAACGAAGACGTCGTTATTATCGCTCTTGTTGTCTAGTAGAGGGGGCGATAGCGTCGTATAGCCTAGTAGAGTAGTATAGCTAGACTCGCAATCTAAAGGACTAGTATTCTTGTTGTTCTTAGTTATATTAAGTATAACTAGAGAGAGCCGTATTGTATACTGTATATCGCGATTCAATTAAGCTTTAACGCTATTATCGATTAGTATTTTATATTTACTACTAGTATACTTACTACCTAGGGTAAATATCTATTAGATAACCTATATATCGCGCTTATAGCTACTTATTATCTCGCCCCGCTAGATACGTACTACTGCTGCGAGTATAGTATCTTGTACTATAGAGAACGTTAGTAGGTTTCGAGAGCGGCGATCTTTACGGCCTAAAGATATATTAGTATAGCTTTAATCGTTGTTTTATTAATATCTAGAGATAGGTAGGCGAGCGTAGCTATAACAGTTATAGTAGTATATTAAAGAGAAGAATAAAATTAGTCCTATATTAGCTATATAACTATAGTACCTACTATGCTCTTGTCGTACAATCCTCTTATCTTTATATATAGAACACTTAGAGTAGTAGGAGATCGTAAAAGCCTAGGAGAATTGCTACTATCTATTTATAAATACTTTGTAAGTAGTCGTTTATCCTTAGAAGAGGTAAGGGGTAGGTAGGAGGTCTATATATCGTATAATTAATACTAGTCTTATATAAACGCTAAGGGCAGGGAGGTACATTTCCGCTTGCGCTCGTTAGGCTATAAGGCACAAAGGGGCTTAATAAGCGCACTCTCGCTTCGCGAAACATTGGATTAGGTAACACCTAATCCAACTACATATTATGTGTGAGCCACCGCACAAAAATCACCGCAGCTTTGCCAGCCATCAAGCTATGCTACAGCACCTGAAAGCTCGCCACCAGTCTTTACTGGAGTTTGTGGAGGACGACCTGTAGAACTTTCAAAGACCCGTCCAGCTGGCATATATTGGAGAGGGTTGGCAAGTCAACCTCGCTACCTGCCTTCGGACTTCAGCAGAACTGCCGCATGAACACTCTGTCGGTAGTGGATATTCAGATCTGTGCGCGCTCATTCAGAAACCGTAGATGATCTCACAGCAAGCCGGCAGGGCTCTTCCAGGTGAGGTTATGAGCACTCCATAGGGACCATCTCAGTCGCATCCGCTATCAGCTTGAGTTACGCAGCAAGATATCCTAGGTTTGGTAGTTCAAGGCTGGCGAGACCGGAGTGGAAGGTCAGAGAATGTGCCTTGCATACTCTGCGGCAAGAAAGCACTTGGCGTATCTGCTGAGGAATGCTGCACGAGACAACAATGACGCGCGCTATGAGAGCCGCGACAGTATAGATGGCGATGTAAGCTGCTGTAACAACCAGCATCCAGTTAGGATCCTCAAAAACCCACCGCTACCCTTGTCGAGCAGATCGAAGACGAAAACAATCATGGCTACCCTGCTTATCACCTTTGGTGCTCTTGCTCTGGCTCAAGGTATGTGAGAATCCTCATCGTTCACAGAACTCGTTCGACCAACGCGACGTAGGCTAACTTTCTTACAGTATTCGACGATCCTACCATAACGCCGGCTCCGGCCCCAAGCTCGTCGAATGTACTGCTATTCCCTGGCATCGACGCTAGCGGGCCATGCAAGAACATCATATGCTACGACTACATCAACACATGCTCAATTAGATACGGCACCTGCTATCCGGCCTGCGGCGCACATGCGAGACCTACTTTTGCCGGTGCAGGTCCATGTGAAGGTGGCCAATTCCGCTCAAGCTTCTCGAAATCCGAGAACATCGCTACAAGGGCGGTGGACGCATGCGGCTACAAGTGCGATTATCGTACGGACTCATGCTCCAACACATTTGGTCCCGGATGCTATACCTCCTGCTCTGGTAGCCCGGCACCACTCTTCACAACTCCCGTTTGCGAGACTGCCGCGCCGCCTGTGCGGACTGTTCTGGTCACGCCAGTGCCAGCGGAAAGAACTATAGCTTTAGCTGTGCCCCTGGATGCCTTGAACAGGAGGGCCCCTTATGCCAACGTAACGAGCGTTGCGCCATTCGCCAATGTTACGAGCTCTGCGCCCTTTGCGAATGTCACAAGCTCTGCGCCTTTTGCAAATCTCACTAGCTCTGCGCCTTTTGCAAATATCACGAGCTCTGCGCCTTTTGCGAATATCACGATCTCTGCGCCGTTCGCCAATGTCACGACTCCCGCGTCCGTCGTCGATGTCACTAGCTCTGCACCTTTCTTCGAAGTCACTAGCTCTGAACCCGCTGAAAGCTACTTACCAGACGAAATACCCGAGGGAGGCGCGACAATCGGGGCACAGTTGGCAACAATGCAGTCTCAAGTCTATGGCTATCTTCCGGTAGCTGATATCATGGACTCTCCAGCTACTGAGGCAAATCAGGATCCAATCGCAGTCGCTACACCTGCTTTCACGGACACGACCACTACTGCAGATTATGAGTCAATGAGTACTACAGCAGCTGCGATCTCTCTCGATTCGCAGTCGCTTAGTTCCACCAGCTTCTCGTCAGAACTCGTCTCCTCGTCTGACGTAGCGTCGTCGTCGTCGTCGTTGGAGGCTCTTCCTTCAAGCGGAATGGCGTCGACGTCAGAATCGGCTTTCTCGACTGAGATTACATCAACGACAGAATCAGCTTCCTCGACTGAGATTACATCGACGACAGAATCAGCTGTCTCGACTGAGATTATATCAACGACAGAATCAGCTTCCTCGATCGATGTAGCCAGCTCAACGGCAGCAACGGCTCTCAGCATCCCGCAGACTTTGTAACATGGCATTCATTCTCCTTCTGCAATCATGTTGTTGGCGTAGTGGCTGAGTATGGTAAGATGATTCAGCCTATTGGGCGACACGGTCGACGAATATAGAGCAGATAATATTACTTTTTTAGTTGCAGACGGTATTCCATCTCAGCTCGTAAAGCGTGAATTGAAGAACGACTGCACGATTCAACTAGCGATTATGATAATATACGGAACACTATCACTCAACAGCCTACCTAGGAGAATACTATGCCACAGGTGAGCGGCCTCTCCGGTCTTCGGAGAGGCCGTGATACACCAAAACCGGTATAGTATTCCGTATGAGCGGGACTTCCCGCTGCACGGTCCGAGGATCCCGTTATCCGAAACGCCTCTCAAACTGCATCGAAGTCATCAAAGTGCTGTCGACATCATTCTTCAGCATCATCGAAAAAGGGGTCTCGAAGCCCGTTACTTAGTTGTAGTCGGCTCTTCCGACTACATTAGTCATAACGGGCGACACGTAGCTCCTGTCCCCTAATCCAGACGAGTCAGTCAGTATGAGGGCTGTGATGGTTTCTTCTGACGTCGACGACACAGGAGTGCGGCAGAATATCTTGAATTGATGATGGTATGCGATGCATCAAGTTGTACTGCTGGATCGAGTGTAGGAGGTATGCTGATCAGTATATGTTAGGAAACACGGCGGGCAAGGTATCCAGGCACATCTATAGAGCCGCACCAATCGTGTCCCTCGCGTGTGCAAGAAAGTAAAGTCCTGCCCTGCTTGCTGCCTATGCTTATGCTAAGGGGAAGTTGCACGTGGCAATCGTTCGTCCAAGTAATGAAAGAGTCAATTATCAGAAACTCGCACGTTCGACGCAGCGACTCGAGAGTAGTACGACGATACGAAGGGTTGTGACAGGACACACAGCAGTGATCGTGCAAGTGTAATTGGTACCAGCACCATCGATCCAAACCAATTCGACACGGAATATCGCTCCATCTGGCTCGTGAAAGGGTCCGCGACGGTTTTCTTGTTTCGAGATCGATTAGCCTTCCATGTATTGGACTTCCTACTCATCTCTGGTGATGGCGAAGCAACATCTTCTTGGAATAGCTAGGCAAACGTCAGCGAACAGCGAACATACAAAAGAGTAGGTCTTGCCAGGACAGTTTGTTCTCATCATCAGCATCAGCATCAGCATCAGCCTCATCACAACACAGCAACAGCACCACTCGCAACAACGCTCCTTACAACACTCACTTCCAACTTGAATTCAATTCTCTCCCAACACCACACAGCAAACATGCGCTTCTTCACCTTCGTCGCTACTACATTGGCTGCTGTCGCCATGGCCAGCCCAGTCCCAGATTCGCAAGGTACGATTGGTTCGGTTCCTCCAAAAGAGTTTCTCGGTCTCTCGAGTTCGTTATGGTGACTGACAATGATCATTCAGGCGGTTATTCAGCACACGGTGGTAGCGGACAGGGAGGCTGGAATGGTCACGCGGAACCCCTCTGCCCTGCCGGTCTTGCCTCCAACCCCCAATGCTGCCAGGTTGATGTTGGCGGTGTCTTGGATTTGACCTGCCAGACTGGTGAGTCGGCCTGTCACATCTCCCAGTTTCGAACATCGCTAACTATTGTTCAGCGCCTGGTAACCCACACAACATCGATCAATTCCAGCAGGCCTGCGCCTCCATCGGTCGCTCGCCACAGTGCTGCAGCATCTCTTTGGTATGTCCATGTTGTTCTGGTCTTAGTGGAGCCTACAGCTAACCACTCCTTCAGCTCGGAAACGAGCTCCTCTGCAACAACCCACTCCCATAGAGAACCAGACCAGCCGGGACCCCAGAACTGCTCTTCTTGAAATCAGCTTTTTCACAGTTATATTAATGTATAGCAAGCAAAGGCCAGAAAAAAATGTACAGTGTAAATTTAGCAAATTCAATAGCAATTGAAGCAATGGAGCTATTGGAAACATGAGTTACTGAGTTGTCAAAACACACATTGCCCTCGATGCGACAACGCGATGCAACCATACGACGCGTCAACACGACGCGACAGCGACAGAGACAGCCTTGCTCGAAGAAGATCGAGCGATGCGCAAAAGCAAGAATAAGAATTAGACACTTCAGAGATAACGATGCTACAACGGCGACAACAGCGGCGACGGGAGGAATACCAAACTAGTTAATCGCAGGTCGATCAACCAGACGTTGGATGCGATGAATTTGGTCAGCCAGATCTGGTCCCCACGAGCAAAGCACACTATGTTCACATGTTGTTCATCCAAACACTCGGGCTCTGCCAACACATGCGCAACGTTGTATGCGAACACTGATACTCTTTGGGTCAGCTGCTGCCTGTAGAACTAACTACTATACCTTATTAACCTCACTCACATGCCCACATGCCTGCTGGCTTCCACCTACGTTCGGCTCCAGTTTTGCTGACAGGGCAACCCTGCTATTATCATTCACTAGAATTTCCCGTCTATGTCGATCACCATCTTTTTAACGCAAAAAGAACATCATTACAAGTTTACAACATCAAATTCATCTGCAGCCTGATCACGATAAGGAGTGGCACGTCGAATCGCGAGCCCGTATGCAAATTGGAAATGCAAACGCCACAGCCAGCACATGCAGGTACCATCTTTCCCATCACCTACTGGCAAAGCACTGTCCTCAACATGGCCGCGTGGAGTGTATACAACTATACATACATGCATCTTCACGGAGATGGGATCTCTTATCCCGGACCTAGCTACTGATAGACTTTCGCCGCAGATGTCATAACCTATGGCCCCCCCACAATACCTTACCAGAAGGATACCCCCAAGCCTCTCGTGGCGTGTCGATCATATCGGCATCCATTTCAATTCTGGACGGCACTTTGATTTATTGCAGGATCGTGATGAGATACAGCACAACCAACAAGGACACAGTCTTCTCGACGCCGCCCACCCACCGCCACGTCGTAGAGCAGAAATTGCTTGTTGCTGCTGGCCAAGGAGAATGTGGTAGGTTGACGCGGCGGACGAGATTTAGTTCTACGGGAAATGGCCAACAAGCTCGGACATGGCCACTGCCAACAAGCTTGTTTGGACGCCTTGCCATGAACGACTCCCTCTCCATCTTCAGTACGGTCCGGGATAGGTCAGCAGAATTGCTCAAAGGAGAGCCTGCGCCTTGCACATGGACATCCCGACCGATGACCTGTAGTGGCCAAGCAGTGAGCACAGGGCCGATGCATGAACCAAAATGATTCCAAGTCGGACAGTGAGACTCTCCGTGCTCCGTGCCTCTATTCTCTCTGCTCAACAATGAGCATGTGTGCCTGTTCCTGAACTCCTGGAGACACGCCGCTGCCGTCTTACCGGACGATCACTTCTATGCAAGGCGAACCGCCACTTCTTCCAGCCTCCACGGCCCGTCCGGGTCACTACTCGTGCAGTCCCAAGTAGGTAGTCCGTGGGTCTGGATTGGCTCGCGCTCTCTTGACTTCACACTTGAGAGATGTTGATGTGTGCGGACCTGTCGTCAGATCCGAGCACATCCTCTCTCTACACTAGGAGCTACCACCCGTAACTATCCCACGCTAGCTATTTGGACAAGCAACTCTAGGCCGTTGGAATTAAGCTTGAGTCTCGCAAGAAGATCGTCGTACGGCATCATTTCTTCAATAACGGAGTGAATTGAAGACTGATGATTCCATTCTGCTCGCACACCACGCAACGTGTACTGAGTCTGAGTAGACAATCCAATGGAGACTGGTCTCGCGAATGAGGCTATTGCACCAGCTTTTGGCCATGTCCAGAGCGCGGTCTTGACCTAGAGTTATGACTCTTGTACACCTGGAGGCCTTTCCAGTATAGGTACAACACCGGGCACTTGATTGGCTATGATGATATCCCACACTCATCGACCTTTTCCATCTCTCCACTTCGGAAATGCAAGGGGTCGATCTCACTAGAAGTCGGTACCTTTGGAGCTCCATGTTATTTGAGTATGTATCTCTTGGCTCACTACCATTTCTTAGACGACGAGATACGATATCACCGTTGCCGCGATTGGCTCCGGGGGCGACGCACTGGTCTCTGTTGACGTCGACTTTGGCACCGTCACACTTGCATGAAGATCTTCGCAGTTACTTTTCTGCGGAAGCCATGTTGCCAGTCGTCTGTGCTAAACACCCGCGACTCGGCGCCGTTACGCTTGCATGGTATCATCCCATGGCCTGGGCTACTCTACAGAGCATTTTCTTTTCGGGATCGCTCGTGTCCAAGCTCGTCACACACCGTGCTCGTGCCAGTGTTGACGAGATCGACACTTCTTCGTGGGATTGTGGGATGGGATGCGAGATAAGGCCCGAGACCACACATTCGACGTCCGACGTCAGACAGATGTAACGTGGATACGAAGCAGACGGAGGTGAGGCCATGGGCATGGAAACCAGAGATATAAGTATCCTCTCCCAGCACCTGTTAGCATTCTCTCATCATCCCAACAACGCACCATCACTCCAGACAACACAGCTTCACTTCCAACAACAGCAACACCAACACCACCTCACTCACCAAAAAACCCTCCCCCAGAACCCACAAACGCCAACATGCAGTTCACCATCCTCGCCTTCGCCGCCATGGCCGCTGCTATCCCAGCCATGATTCAGGAGCGCGCTCCGGGTTCCGTCTGCCCAGCACTCGACACCCCTCTTTGCTGCCAGGCCGATGTCGATGGAGTTGTCGACGTGACCTGCGAGGCTCGTAAGTATCCACCCTCATACCTTCTCGAATTGACCCAGACGCTGATCTTTTTCTTCTCGCCAGCTTCCGACACCTCCTCCGTCAACGCCTTCAAGAGCAGCTGTGCCTCGAGCGGCACCACAGCCAAGTGCTGCACTTTGCCTTTGGTATGTCCCGCTCTTACTGCGAAACCATTTATCAGACAGAATACTTTTACTGACAACAATAACCCTCGCAGGCTGGTGATGCTCTTCTCTGCAGCTCCCCATAAATGCATTATGTATGGGGCAACGGGGAAACATCCAACCAACCCTTTTTTCATGAATGGAATATGACAAAGTCGGAGAAGACGAGAATGAAGAGGAGGATTTCACGAGATACATTTACATTGTACTGGCTTTGTATTCTTAACAACAACAAAATTCTTTTTTGTATTCACAGACAGAATTTTCTTTTGTTATCGAGAATAGAGACATAACAGATTTTTCATCTACTTACTTTACATCACTTTTTCCTTTAAGTTAATTCTAGCTCCTTTACAAAAGACTTCTCAAGATCTTATCAAAGACGTTTCCTATAACAAAACAGATTCGGACGTACCTCCGATTCCGAATTTCAGTTCCACGACTTATTTTAATCTCTATTGGCACCGCAAACAAAATAGTAGACAGCCCGCCATGGATCTTCATTCACCACCTAAAAAGAACAGCCATAAAAACTCCCCTCCTTCTCGCCACAGCCCCACAGCACAGAACAGCAGCAACAATATGCCGCCTCCTCAACAAGAAACCTACTCCCTCCTCTCCCTCGACGAAGAAGTCGACGAAGACCGTACCGCAAATGCCCAGTATGCTCCCTTGGAAAATATGCTTTCTGCGACATTTTTGGTTGTCTCGTTGCTCGAAGGACAACATGTTGGCCCCGATCATCATCATCATCATCATCATCATCATCATCATCATCATCATGTACAGATGCCAGTATACTCCTATGCCATTCAAGGCGGATTCTCGATGCAGTTGCGTGGAGGTCGGCAGAGTACGCGGGATGTGGACGTTGTGACGAATATCAAGATGAGGGGAGTTTGGGAGGCGATTAGAGGGGAAGAACGGTAAGTTTTATTTATTCGGTACCGTGTAGGTAAGGTAGGTAGTTTTTGCTTTGATATGACTGACTGTAGGCTGGCTGTTTCTGCATACATGTGATAAATTTTTTTTTATTCTGACCTTTTTGGGAATTTTAATGTAGTCTGGTGATACCGGATTCACGCTTGGTAGAAGGCATCGTGAAGGTGTTTGTCAAAACGGGGCCGGAGTACGATGCGTGTGGGGAAAGACATCGGATTGAGATTGATATTAAACAAGCAGGTAATCATAAGTGGAAATGTTCGATGTTCGGATCTCGAAATCTCTCTTCTTCGCTCTCCCCATGAAGCTATTATTATATTGCTCTAATACTTCACTTTTGATTCCTACAGGTTTCCGTCGCTCTCCTCGGATTCTGGACGGCAATAGTGTCGAAGTCGTCGGACCTTTTCCACTCTTCGGCAAAGCTCTACATTTCAATATTTTGAATATTGCTTCGATGATGCGGATCAAGATAGAGTGCTGCCTCACTCGCGAAGAAGTTCGGGATTTCGAGGATGTGAGATTCATGATGACTTCTCATGGAGAGCAGGTGCGTGCGGCGATCGAACGGGGTGTGATCAATGAAGACGAGCTGTATGAGGTCTTGTCGCATGAAAAGATGGGAGACGAGGCGACCCGTGCTCGTCTCAGCAACATGGTGACTTGGTAGAGCTGGGTGGTCCATAAGAAACTCTTTGATTGCGAGCAGCGGCTTCGGGTCCAATTTGCAAAAACAGAATGCAAAATTCCACTAAAGTCCTTATTCAGTGCCTCCGTGCATCAAGGCTTGCCATGCGTAAACACAGCGAAGTCACGCATACCCCCCATCCCTCGCCGACACAGTGTACTAGCTCGGGGTATACACGTATGACCGCCTCGAGTGGAGGTGACACCAAGCAGCTGATGCGAAAAGCCTAGTGGCTCGTCACATAGGGTGCGCTCGCCTCACGATGAAGGATGTCAATATACACCGCACACTTGGTTTCACCTGGTAGTGGTGTTTATTGGTAAGATTGAAGATGTCCCGTACCACCGACAATGCCGCTGCCATCACTGTGCAACTCCACCTTGCTAAGGCCAGCGAAATATGTACTATTTATTCTTTGTAACTCTTTTCATACCTATACATGAACATCTCTTTCTCATGTGACTACTCGGTCTCTGCCCTTCAACGGCAGTCGAGATTTTGTAGGTATAGCATTCGACAACATATGGAAATGGGTCTTGTTACCTTCCCGTGGAGCGATGACTTATTCAAATTGTAGCCAAGAATGTTTCAAGAGCTCGGATGCGGAAGCTCGCTGTTCTGGATCCCATCTGAGCATGTGCCGCAAAAAATCAAAAAATGGTGCGTGTTCAGGCTCCATGTCCACGCGCTCTTCTAGCGATACCTGCTCAGGCTCCCCATGTTTGAGATTCCCTATGATGCTTAGCGCTGAAATGTCCAAAGGAATGAAGTCCGTACCTAGTTCGTCGAAGTGCTTGTCTTTTGCGGCGCAGCGAAGTAAGAAGTTTGCTGGCGGAGGGCCCAGATACTGAAGCATTAGCTTGACTGTCTCGACTTCATTTGATTGTCCAAACAGCCGCTCTCCGAGCGCTAGCTCCCAGACCTGTTGATGAACTCTAATTAGCTGAGCCGGCACTGGGTACGTGATTTACTAACAAGGACACCTAAGCTCCAGATGTCGATTTTGCTATCCCAGCTTGACCCGAGTAGGACCTCCGGAGCACGATATGGTAATGCCTGAACCGTGCCAGTGTGTGGAGGGGATCCGACTTTTGCCGAACCGAGATCACATAGAATTGGATATGTAAGTTCGTCCTGTCTCATCTCTCGAGATCGATAAAGAGGGAATCCATCCGGACTCATCTTGGCAAAACTTGGGCTTTCTTTCTCGGAAGCTACGAGGGCTTTCAAGATGTCCTCTTCATTGTCAGGGAGCGTGATCTGGATATTATCCAATTTGATATCTAGATCTCCTGCGTAAGTCGTGCTAATTCCAAGATTGACTGCACCGTCGACTTACCCGTGTGAATGACATTGTGCTCATGGAGAAAATTTACAGCGTGTAGAATGTAAATGATCATCCGGCGGACCTCTTCAATGTGAAAAGATTGCGAAGTCCTCCATGATGAAAATTCTAGGAGGCTTGGTCCAAGCGGCTCGAAAATGAAGCACTGATGATGATGGCCATCGGCAATAATGGTGAAGATGTCCTCTGGCTGGCGCACGCAATATCTCCCGGGATTCTGGGAGTTCGCCGCGTGATTATGAAGATGCTTAAATACGCGTGCTTCTCTTGTATCGCCTTGGTTCGCCGTCGCGAGTTTCATCACCTTGAACGAGCTGCTGAGCCGCGAAAGCATTGGTTATTGCGGCAGATGGGGAAAAGTAATGGCATACTTCTTATAGGCACAGAGCCAGGTGGTGGAAGTAGCACCATAGCCCAGCTTTGCTTGTACTTTGTACTCGTCTCGAATCACTTGCCCAACTTTCGCTGGGTAATAGCGCGAACTTTTGAAGCACGTGAGACTCTCTTCTTCGATAGGCTCGGGAAGCGCGGACATGTTGCGTGCGTTCGTCGGGTTCGATTTAGATATGGAATGAAAGAGAGTCGCGAGAGACCTCGCTCGTTGTGGCCAGATTCGCGGGGGTGACATGACCGAATCGAGAATTCATGTTCGATGGGTTTGGAAGTCGGCAAGCTGAACAGAGAGCATAGACGAATATAGGGGTGCAGGGATGTAAGCGCGCTATGCACTTCGGCGCCTCGTCGCCGCCGCTGATTGGCCAATGCAGCACCCCACTTTGCTTTTGTCCCCGATCGCGTCCTATTCCAACACCCACACGTTCAAACACACCATGTTTCTCTCCTCACAGCAACGACTCGAATGGACGACTCCTCCATTGCAGCCGCTCCGGGCGAGAACGAGCTTGTCAACGGTTCCACGACAACGATAGAGCCAGACGAGGAGGTCCCACTGGCAGTGTGTTTTGATGAGTCGGTGCAAGGCCTCCCATCTGACATAGAACCGGACTCACTGGGAGCGGATCTGATGGCCACCGTCGTCAGTCTCCTACGACAAGCAGATATCCCATGCTGCTTCGCGCGTGAAGCCGCGCTAATCTACTATGGAGCTCTCAGGAACATGACGGTAAGTGACCACGGCGAGATGAACACATCACTCGAGCTCAATCCCTAAAGGACTGGATCCTGTGCGTACAAGACGAAAGGCTCGCAGATGCCACTGAGCTGGTGACTGAGCAACAAGCTACTATTCAACCTTTCCGGCCATCCGCCATGATCCCCAACGGGACCATCGACCACCGCTTCCCGCGCTTCAAGTTCCTGGGCTATCGGTGTTTCTTCCACCTCGTACCTGCATGGGTTCATCATCTATCGTGCTCGTCGGGCTGCATTGAGTTGAGCATGAAAGGTCTGCCTTTTCCCAGACTTGACGTTCTGGCTCAAAGCTTGGTTGAAATCATGGAATACGTGGATTTGGCCGACCTGGTAGATGGTATGAATCTCACCGAGGAATGGGGGCTGGACAATTTAGATCTGGAAGGCTTGACGGACACCGAATGGGCGCAGAGGAGATTTGATTTCCACGATCAGAGCGGGGATTGGCTGCCAGTGTTTCTTCGCAAAGAGGGCAAGCCGAAAAGAGACATCTGGCACCGAATTGCCTCCCCAGAATCGAAAACGAAGAGGCTAGGTCACAAGGCTCTGCCAAAGGACGAAACTCGCTTTCGGTATAAGGGACAGAAAGATCCTCGCCAGTTGCATATGTTGTGAGCAGAAGAAGTGAGAGGGAGGGCAATATGGAATCAGGTTGTCTTTGAATGTTTGAGCAGGTAGATATGGATGCATATGGTATGCTTCATCTACAAGGTCCAGATCCTTGTGTACCTGAGGCAGGTATGTATATGCGTCTTCAGAGTAAAGAGCCGAGTTTCTTGATATACGAGATTCCCCGCGGGCCCGCAGTAAGGGGTGAAAAAAATGCAAGAAGCTTTCTGGTAGGTTAGGCTCGAATCGAAATATTCCTCATCAGATCGAGGACGCACAGGATTACATTTACCTTTCTTTTTCTTTTTCTTTCGCTTTTCGCTTGCTTTTTCCCCTTTCTTTGCTAAGGTTAGAGCCCTCTATTTGGGTAATGTAGTTGGTCTGTACTTATATACCGACCTGTAGGAAAGGACCGAGTAGGGTACGCCTTACAGATTGGACATTCGTCTTTGCTCTCTAACTTCGTAAAGGCAGATAGGGCTAAATAGATTTGAGTATACATAATACGAGGTGCTTGCTTTGCTGTAGGTATGTATACTGCCAAACTGCCGTCTAGACATGTAATGTTCTCCGATCTAGGAGAGAGGGCATTTTTCCTTTTTTTTTCTTCCTTTTCTTTTCCCTCTTTTTCTTTTTTGAATGCACGTGCGCGCTGCTACTTGACACAGTCCTTACCTCCTTAACTAGGTAGGTAACTTTTGCGTACGCAAGCTACCGGTAGGAGGTAGGTAACTTAGTATCAAATAGGTCAGGTAGCGACCGAGGACAGACATGACGGGAACTTCCAGCGCGGAGTTAGGAGGTATAGGTGTACGCCACGATACATATTGCTGTGGCACATGGAATATGAAAGAGGAGGTGGCTCAGCGGAATCTATCTGATATATTACACAAGTGGATCGCGTGTTCTCTGGGGGATCAATGCATAGTGCCAGCAGGCTCTACTGATTGCACCGATCGTAGGGAATTAGTTATATACAATCAACAACTCGTGCATTCCGGGAGCCGGAATGTGAACGGCCAGTCAGTCGGCCAGATCGATTTGTGCATATGGGGAATGGAATGTCCAGACCGAGCTGCTGACGTCTCACAACGCTAGTCCGAGATGAACGGACCGTTCACGCGAAACAGCCGACGATTCTTTCTTTTCTTCACCCAGAGCAGACTTTTTGGGTATTTTAAATGGCTCGGGACGTCAAAAAGACGTTGGCTCATTCGGTTTCGTGCTCCACTTGCGCAGTTGCCTGGTAATTGGTAAAATTGGGATTACATCAGAATCATATATCGAACGCTTTCGAAGCCATGTACAATCACCTATATAATGCTTCCCGAGGCAATCTCATCAGCGAAAATACCGACTACCATCACCAGCCGCCTACGTCTCCCGACAGCCACTCTCTGAACCCAATGCCTCGAGACACGAGAAAGGACGACAGGCGCTACTACCGCAGCGCCGAATTCAAGCAAGCACTCTTGGAGGATCGATTGCAACAAGAGTTTGTGGTTCATACACCGGTCGAGCCGAGCGGTGGAGTGAGCAATCGATTTTCCCGATACCACGCGAAGAGGAAAAGCATTGCAATGTCATTTCCCTCGTTGTCCATGCTGGATGTGACCAAAGGGGTGCCAGAAGATCGACAAGCAGAGGACAGCGAGGCAGGAGAAGCGCACAATAGCGAATCGGAGATTTCAGCGTCGCCCCAATCTGCCACTGTACCAGCAGCAGTAGAGCACCACAGTCCTTTGAGCAACGTTTCAGACACGTCTTCTGAAGCCGATACGCCGTCCAAATCTCGCGAGCATCGTCTGCCCAGGATTCATCTCCATGGCACAGGTCCTTTTGCTAGGCTCGCCAGGCATAGAAAGGGAGGGCAAGAGTCTTAAAATGGCCGGATGGGATCATGTTGTCCGCATGTCGTGAGGTGTATCGATGTGGGTGCGGGAGGGATGTGCGGCTTGCTGAAGGATGAACCAGCCAACCCGGCCTTGGCGAAGGATTTACACCAACTGGGACACCGCAACCATCGTCTGTCAACTGACAACATGTAACAACATTTGCGACTGGAGTCATAGTCGACTTCGCATTCATATTCAGAACGACGACCTCGCACATGACCGAAATTCGAGGTTGCGTGCGTTGGTTACATACGAGTGACGACACTGGATCGTCCTTTATACAAGCTTTCGAGGATCCGCCATCGAACATCGTCATATCGTCCATTAAACAGACTTGATCATGGACGACCCGAAGCAGATCAACGAGCAAGCCTACGATCACCTTGCCGACTGGTATGTGTCCTCCGAAAAGGACGTCGAATTCCGCAGAAGATAACCACAAACACATCAGGTATCTCGACTGGGCCAACAGCCAAGAATCTCCTCGTCAAAGATATACCGACAAAGTACTTCAGAATGCACGCCCCCATCCTCACATTCTCGAACTCGGCTGCGGTCCCGGAATCCCCATTACGAAAATGCTTCTCGACCGCGGCGCCTCCGTCATCGGCAACGACATCTCGCGCACACAAATCCGCATGGCGACATCTCGCTGTCCCGAAGCCGCATTCATCGCCGGCGACATGGCCACTCTCGAATTTGCACCCGAAACTTTCGACGGCATTACCTGCTTCTACGCCATTTTCCATCTCCCTCGTGAAGAGCAGAAAGCTATGCTCGCCAAGATTTTCTCCTGGCTCAAACCGGGCTGTATGTTGGTGTTTAACACGGCGACGATCGATTCGGCGGAGATTCATGGTGAAATGATGGGTCATGGGATGTTTTGGAGTAGCTATGACGTGGAAGGTAATACGGCCATGGTTACGGCTGCGGGGTTTGAGGGTGTGGAAGCGGAAGTGATTGAAGCTGGAGAAGGGAAGTTGGAGGAAAGTGATCCGGATTATGGGGTTTCGTTTTTGTGGATTTCGGCTTTGAAGATGAAGAAGAAAAAGAAGAAGAGGAAGGGTACCGATGACAGTGGTGATTGATGATTCATTCTCATTGAACTCCCTGCCACTCGACATATATCAATAATGTCTTTGATGTGTGTGTACCACATATCGCCTTCATCATCATCATCATCATCCTCTTCTCACCCAATTGGCACCAATTCACATTCCCTCTACTTCGTCGCACCCCCAGGCACATTCTTATTAATCTGCCCATCGGCAAGTTTATTAATCTTGTCATCATACTTGTCTCCCATTCCCAAGCGATCCGTCGCATTGTCGATTTCTAGAAGCAAAGAACACACCCATGTCGTCAGTCGTCACATTGGGAAATGAGATAAATGTAGAGAGAGAATGAAGCTTACGAGTGTGACCAGCACCACTAATTCCCTTTTCAATTCCAGATTGAGTACCTCCTGCTCCTCCGGTGGCGGCATCAGTGGAACCTCCGCTGCTCTTGCCCATGGCTTCTTTGGCTTTGTTGAGGAGACCGGACATAGTTATTGTTGGGTTTTGGTGTTTTGGTTTGGGTTCTGGTTCTGGATTTGGATGGTATAGAAATCGGATTTGAGAAGAACTTCTTTAATACCTACATCCAGAGAGACACATATATATGTACATACCTACCCTCCATTAAGTCATCATCATCATCATCATCATCGTCGTCATCGTCATACGACACAGTACCTATGTAGGAGGTGGTAGGCAAAGATGCGGGAAAGTCTGGTTCGTAGCCAACTATTTCGACAAAGTTTACCAAGTTCTGTTCAGTTCTAGTCAGGCATTGGGAACTGAACTGGTTCTGCTGCAGCTGTTTGCTGTTGGTGTCAGCTTCAACCGGGCAATCGTCTCTCAGGTACGAACAGGGGGAGTGGGGGGGATGACTTCAGGTTGCATGTGAAATGAGAGGTTGCTTGAGTGAGGGGCAGATGATGGAGCTTGTGATCGTGAGAGTCGGCGAAATTTCCCTTGGGACGGACAATACTTTCTTCCGGGAGCCGATGGAGGTGTTTTTCCTCTCTCGCCCAAACTCTGTTCTACGATGATTACTTGCAAAGAAATTCGTTACTTCACTCCCTATGTATTACCAGGTACTGCCAACCGAAACACCACCCGAATGCATGTAATGAATACTCGCGACAACGCCTCCTTTTTCCCGATGAACGAAATCATCATCAAGATCTATATACATCATCATTCATCCATTCATTCGCTACAGGACTTCCCCAATCTCCCTCACTACGCCGAAACAATCTCCCACTCACGATTACCCTGGAAAGCACCCTCATTACTCTCAGCCTTGCCTGCGCCGAAGCCCTTGGCCTGCCACTTCTCAACACCTTCCACACCCTTCAGCTCCGTGGCAAAGGTGCGGAAAAGTTGAGCATTGAGGCTCTCATAGTGCTTGTAGTCCTTGGGCCAGCTTCCATATCGCTGGTAAGCCAACTTCAGCAGACGGAGATGCCACTTGATGAGCTGTCCGCGCTGGGCGGTGCTGAATCCGGTGCCTTCAACGTCCTGGTGTTGTCCGTGGGTGTCGTGATGGATGCCGTGCTCAGCCAGAATCTGGGCCGCGCTGTCATCATCGTCGATATCCACTCCATCATCTACGTCGCCACCGGTCGCGTCAGATCGCAGCCAGCGAAGGATATCTTCGTGTATCACGACTGCTTTCCTGAAGTGGTCTGCAGCTAGCCCTGCTGCGGACTTGTCTCCTGCTCCTGCCTCTTTCTGGTAGTTGCCTCCGATGGAGGTGTACAGTTCTGCCAACAGACCGTAAGCCTCGAGAGTGGCTGAGCTCTTGATGCCGTTGACGCGACGAAGGTTGTAGGCGATGTCTTCGGCGAGTCGGAGGGCTTTGATCTGTCGACCGGCGAGGTATCGAGCGCAGATGAGACGGCGGCCGAGGAGGAGAAGGACTTCTGGAGCCCACTTCTTTTGCGCTTCGCGAGTTGTCCACAACTCGGTGAGGAGCATCTATAAGAAGGAAAAATTGGTCAGTATCAGCACGGCGGGCGGGCCCATTCCAGACTCTACATGTACTACTACTCACCTCCAGTGTGTCGTAATCTTGCTGCTCGCCGAGCAAAGCAATCAGCTCGTTTAGCTCCTTGAGTGGCACCTGAGCAAAGTTGATATTCTCTTCGCGGCAGATGGCGATAATGTCCTTGACGATCTTGTTGGACAATTGCAATAGCTTCTTGCGAAGCTCGGGATCAGGGCACCTGTTCTCGCCGCGACCGTCGAGGTATGAAGCCAGCTCGAAGCCACGAGAAATGCCCTTGGGACCACGGTAACCTTTGCGATGCTGAGCATACATGAAGGTCATCTTTGCAATATCGTGTGCATCGGCGAACTTGTTGGTGTCCACCAGCTTCTTGAGAGTGCCGTTCGAAGCCAGGATGACGGCGCGCACAAAGTCGTTGCATTTGCGGTTCGCAATGTGCTCGAGAATGCCGACGATGAAGTAGCGTGGCGATTCCTTGCTCAGAAGCTGCACATTGGATGCCTCGCGTTGCTCGAAGATATGTACGCACTCGTGATCGACCGCGGCAATGAGACCGGTGCGGTTTGCCCGAAGCAGCAAGTACCGAAGCGGCGCAGCAGCGAGCAGAAGCCTGTCCAATGGTGCGTTGTTCTTCACCAATTGCTTGAAGTTGCCGTACATGAATGCTTCGGCGCTCAAGCTGGCCATGATTTCGGACAGCGTAATGGCCACATCCTGGCGCAATTGGTACTCCAGGGTAGCGAGGAAGAACAGCGCTGCATGACTGGCCTCGACCACGCTGAAAGACGAGCTCGACCGCTTTTCACGCACCACCAACTGGTAGTGCATCTCTTCCACAATCTGTGTGCACTGCTGAATCAGGTTCGCAGCCCGGTATGTCTGGACAAGAGATACGGCAGACTCATACATCCGCTCGGAGGAGGTCTCTTGCTGAGCGATCGTGATGAGGGCCGTGTTCAGCTCCTTTGCTGCCAGGTCGGTCTTCTGTTGACGCACATAGAGCAGCGATAGCTCACGCAGACTGTTCAATGTCTCCTGGTGCGAGTACGTGTACTTGTTTTTGTAGTCGGAAAATTGATCCTGGTACACCGAAACGGCCTTGGAAATGGTATCGGAGTTGGCAGATGAGGACGACTGGAAGATGCGCTTCTTGTACAGCCCTGTGAGACTCTGGCGCAGCTCCGACGAGTCGAAGTTGCTGGATGATGAGGAAGAGTCTGATTGGGACGCACTCTTGGAAGCCTCTTCGTAAAGGGCAATGGATTCCTCCATGCGCGACTCGCTCTGTTCAGTGACGCGCGCGAGTGCAACAGTAGCCTGGACTGCGATCGTCGACGTAGCACCAAAGACTGCCTTTGTCGTCTCTCGGTACTGCTTTGTGACCTGGAGCAGAACTTCATAATCAGCCTTGGTCTCTTCCAAAGACTGGTAGTATCGCTCATAGATGCTGGAGACGAAATTTGCGTCCGAAAAGAGCTGGAACTCCTTGTGCTTCTGCACGAAAGTGTTCCAGATAATGGCATATGCCGCGACAGCGTCGCTATATCTGCGCTCCTCCCAGTAGGACTCGGCGACAATGATGGTGGCATCCATCGCGCGGACGTGCACAGTGGTCGAATCTTTGTTCAGCACGGTGACTATCTGCTGGTAGTACTCGATCCAGTATGGGTGGCTTCGTGCGTGCTTTCTGCATCTCGATCCCAGCTCGTAGAGAGTGGTGATGGTAATCTCATGGCTGGGGCCCAGCGTCCTGCGGTATACTGCCAGAAGCTCCTGATACACGGCAATGATCTTGCTGGGGTGGCCACGGTCTTGATAGAAGTTGATGATCAGTGTCTTGGCCCTATCCAGGAGAGCGGTATCCTTCGGGCTGGTGAGCGCTGCTCGGAACAGTCGCACGTAAATGTCTTCGGCCTTCTCGAAACGTCGCTGCAAGATGTACACCTCGGCCAGACGCTCAACCAGCTCAATGGACTCCTTTTGGAACGAAGATGCAATTGTCACTTCGTGGAGGGACTTGGACAGGAATGAGCTCCAAGTTCGGTCGAGTGTCACCTGAATGACCGATATGGCCTGAGTGTACTGCTTCTCCTCGATGTATCTCTGCGTCAGAGTCTTCGCCAGTGAGAGGGTAGAAGCCTCGACAGACTTGCTCTTGTTACTGATGAGAACACGGAACATGTCGTACTGTTCGTTGCTAGATGAAGAGGATGTGCTCTTGGTGTCCTGGGTCGCCTTCGTCAAAGCGAGGTTGCTGATCACAGTCATCTCCTCCTCGATTTCGGTCAATGATTTGGACTCCTCCTGGCGGACATTCTTGTAGTAGTACGACGCGTGCTTGTGGATCGACAAGGCAGCAGAATACTCTCCGACGCTCTTGAGGAAAGCTGCAGACTCGGTGAGCCTTTTCACGATCTTCTCGGAGTAGGAGAGCTCATGGTGCTCGTACTCCCGCCAGATCGACATGGTCAAGCTCGTGGCTTCTGTGGTACGCTTCTGCGTCTGCAGATATCGGGAATATGCCTGGACGACCTGGATCTTCTTCTCGTGCCACTCCACAGCGAGCGAGGTACGGCACGTCTCTGAGAGGCGCTGCCACAACTCAACATAGGTCTGCTCAGCTCGGACAAACTCTTGACGAGCAATCATTTCATCAATCTCACGGAGGATGACATCGGCTTGGCCAACATCGATGACGACCAAGGCATCTTCATCCTTCTCGTCGTCGATGAAGATTCCACTGTCGTATTCTCCGAGCTCTTGACCATGCTTCTGCTTGCCGAACTTGACTACGAATCGCTCGTCGACCGCTCGAGTAGATCCGCCAGTCGTGCCATTGCTGTCGCTGGAGTGGCCGTGAATGATCTTGAGGATATCCCTTGCATGCTCTTCCTCGCCGATAGCAATGTAGAGCTCTACCAGACGCTCTCGTGTACGAATCACGACCTCGGAGCTCATGCCGAATTGGCGTTCATAAGCCGAAATCAGCAAGATGAATGTTTGCTCGCGGCGAGTGATGATGTCTGTCCTGGTGCTAGAGGTGTACGAGTCGGTAATACGGATGTAACGCACGGCAGACTCCACCACGACTGGGTGCAATACACTCAAGATCGTACGACCAATGGTGCAGATGGGGTAATAGAGCTCGCCGGCCTTGGTCCAGTCTTCGAGGACTTCCCAGTAGCATGCAGTGTTGATGTAGCTCTGCAGAACAGCTGGGTGTTTCTCAGTCAAGATCTTGGTACGCACACGGCGTACCATATCGTGTACCTCGACTTCCTGCGCTCCCGGGAATTGATCGTCCCACACGAGCCATTCGAGGACAGCCATGACAGTACTCTCGGGGAACATCTTCTGCAGCTCAGGACTGATCTTGGGCTCGGTGGGCTTTCCTTGAGTGATCACGCCCGATTGCTGAAGATGCCATGGATAGTATCGAATGACATACTCGAGCAGCGGGTAACGGCTGAAGTTGTGCTCGACCACCGTTCGGTCAGTATCGTCGAGAGTTGGCTCGCCCTTCTCTGTCAAGGACATCTTGGTGTATGCCAGGATGCGCAGCAGCAGGTCTAGCTTTTGGTCCTTGACTGGAATTGTAATCTTGCCGCTCTGGAACAGGTTCCGTGTAGCTGTTTGCACTGAAGCGTGCCTGGGGCGGATGATGTCTTCCTGGATGTCGAGCAGAGGGGCCAGTGTTGCCACGATGGAGTGCACGTCTACTCGGCGCTCCGACCTGTTGGCAGTCTGAACATTGATCGTGTACAAGCTTTCGATTTCGTCCCAGGTCAGCGGACGAGCTGCGTTGACGAGGAACGACAGGAGCAGCTTGGCATCCTCAGACGGTTGCAGTCGGGTGAGCAACAGAAGGGTCAGCTCGTCGATGGATTTCTTCGACTTGCTCAGATCCTTCACAGCATTGTCGAGATCTTGCGGAGACTTCTCGAGCCTCAGAACTTCCGATGTGAGCTCAGCCCACAAGAAGTTTCCGTCGGCCGCAGCAATCACATACTCTGCGACTGATTCCTGCTCGCGTCCTGTCTTTCCTCGGAAGTGGGCAGACTTGATCAACGTCTTGATCACGACTTCGTGGATGTCACCCTTGGTGTCTGTCTCCGTAATGCCACGGCTCGTGCCACGTGCACCTGTAGGGAGCTTGAGATCTTGAGCCATTGCAATCAGCTGGACCCCGTGGCCCTGCTCCACAGCATGGACAAGTCGTTGAAGAAGCGCTTGGCCCGCAGACTGCCCACCGATGATCTCGTCGATCCCTTCGACGATGAGGACGAGACTGGGAGCATTCTGAAGTGGGCTGCGAAGAGCATTCTCCAGTGCTTCCCAGAGCAAATCTTCATACTTGGATGGGTCTGCGGTGTAGCGTGCTCGCTCGTAGGCAGTCACGACGGCTTGGTACAAGCCCACATTACCCACGCGGATGGTGTAGATCTGATGAAGCAAGGCTTTGACCACACTCAAGCTGGTCGCTTGCGATGGCACTGCTCCGACCGAGCAGAACGCGGTCGTGTACCCTTTGCGAGCCACGGGGCGCTGCAGACGCTCTGCCAACGCTGCTGAGAGAGTCGTCTTACCAGAACCGGGGGGCCCATTGACCAGAAGTGTGGAATCGTTGCTCTTGACAAAAGCCGAGAGATCATCGAGGAACCACACTCCCGTGAACTCTGCCATATCATTGGCGATCAGTGTGTGATCCTGCGCAAGGGTGGCGAGCACACGGTCCTGGGGCGCGAGCCAGCGGCTCAAGTGGTCGACGTCGACACTATCATCTAGGGTCCCGTCCGCCTCAATCTGCTCTTTCCAGATCGCTTTGGTGATTGCTTCTCGGCGCTGTCGGAAAGTGGTAATGGTCTCGCCAAAGACCTCATACATGTCCAGGCTCGCAGACTGGCCCGCGCTGCCGTGCACCGTGCGATAGAACCGCACAGCGACATCGACCACGAGGGCCAAGAGGTCGGTATACATGAAGCATCTTCACAGCCATATTAGCGCGTCATCGAGGTGCGTGATTAGATCCCATGCTTACAGTTGCTGATAGACGTCACCAGAGAGCTTGAGCACTTCTGAGCGTGCGAGGAGAACTGACACTGCAGATGAGCATCGGTAGATGAAACCAAATGCGCTGTCGAGGGCAAGACTGTTGGAGTGTCCGAGCTATCGAGAGTAATCAGCAAAGCTCCACAACGACTGGCCGGCACATCCATTGCCAAGTGATACTGACCTCCAGTAGAAGTCTGATATGGCCGTAGCCCAATTGCGCTGCATGCTCAGTTTCCAACGCATGAGCTTTCAAGCCCACCTCAAAGCCATGCAGTCTCTCTGCGAAATACAACGCTCGAATGAGAACAGTATCCCATCTCGAGCCCTTGTGTGGCAGAGTCTGCAATCGCTCCGAGCGAATCCACTCGACCAGATTAATAAAAGAAACATTATCGGCCGTCTCGCTGATTCCGGCGCCCAGTTCGGAAGCACTCTTCCTCTTGAGAGTGTATGCTGTATCTTGCACAATGGATGACTTTTGCTGTCCTCCACCGAATGAGCTGCGGAAAGCTGAGTAGCTCGCGCTCATTCTGGTGCTGCCTCGGTTCGATCCTCCGTTATGGAGCGAAGGCGAGATGGGAGAGGAGTAACCGGAATCGGTCATTCCATTCGTGCCATTGAAATTTGTGGAGATATTATTCTTTTGTGGTGTCGAAGGGGCGACCATACTCGTTGGGCGCTGCATTTTCGTCTTTTTAAAACTTGTTGTTGGCTGATGATGTACAGTGGCTCGTGATGATGTTGATGATGGTACAATTGGTTTCGCAGCGGTCGATGGCTGCGATGTTATCGACAAAGATGGTACAATTTTTGATTCGTGAGTCTTCTGAGGTGATGAAGAAGAAGCAGGAGAAGAAGTGGTTGGAAGAGGAGGAGGAGGAGGAGTAGATCGAGCAGGCTGCGCGGGAATGGCAGTACTGTTAAGCTCACTGGAACCGCAGCACAACTTCTGCTTAATCTTTTTCCACAAGGCAATGGCAGCAGATAGTCCCACTGTTTTCATGGGCTAAAACAGGTGTATCGATGATGGACACGCGGAACGGGGAGAAAACAGAGCTATATGACGGTATCACCATCACTCTCCTCTTCTTGAAAGAGACTCTTGCATAGTCCGAAATCGTCGATACAGGAGACTGAAGTTGGGGACCTTGCATTTACGCTCATTGCATTATAGGTAAGATCTGTCTTTCTCCACCCATCGCTCTGCACGAGCGAAACTTCCGCTCATCCTCCTCCTACCTCTTCTTACCTGTGCCATAGCAGATTCGCCTCCTCCATCGATGTCATACCGAGCGCAGCATGCAGATGCATCAGCAGCAAAAGGACTCACTAAAGTGAGGTCGATCAACCCATTCCGAGCAACATTAACTTCCAGCAGCTAGCTGCACAAGACGAAGCTATCGGTATAGCGCCACCTTCGACAGTATGAGGTATGATTCCCCAAAAGCGGCAATAATGGTTGGTATATCATTATTGTCTTTTTTTCTGGCAACGGAGCAGCCGTCGCTCCCATACGCCTTCCAATGCCAATACAATATCTTGGCCCGATCAGATCTGACACCACCACCACTATCATCACTACCACTAACAAGATCGTGGGATCTCACGATCTGCCGTGGGCTCGCGTGGCGTTTGCCCTGTTCTTTCCCACGAACCCGTTCCGTCACAATACATACACCAGGTTGGCCAAGCGGGACCATTTTCTCTTTTCAACAGGTAGGTAGGTAGATCTTCTTCCGTTTCGAGGAAAAGCAGATCTGCCACACGATATCATCTTGCGTTTCTGAGGAGGGAAATATTTGTGAAGATGTCCCACTTGGTTGAGAGCTTGACGGACGACAGACTTTCACGACTGCAGGTATACCTGCTGTGGAGGTACTAACTATGTAACTACTGCAGTGAGGAGGTACTGTAGGTACTACTGCAGCTCCTCCTCCTCACTGAATCGAAGCAGCATTTCCCGCTCGGTGACAATGCAATTTTATATACTACACTTTCTGCAGGCTGTGTTATCTTGGCTTCATGGGGTGTGGTTTTCTGTATTGGTGTACAAGCATGTACGCCATCGAAACTGTGATAGTGCATAGTTTGTGCATAGACATCCAGTGCACTGCATTTTGCATTTGTTGTGAAGTGAAATCTGCACTAAGGTAATGCAGGTAGTAGTTAGTACGAAGGCATGTTCGCACAAAAGCATCCATCAAACTCGCGTCTAACCAAGAATAGGCAGCACACTTTTTATTGACACTTTGACAGCTTCCTTACAATGTACCTTCGCTTTACCTAGGTATAGAACCAACCTTCCCCAGGAATTCACATGCTATCTAGGTTCCTAGGCAAGGGATTCGCAGATTCACGACAAGTGGTACGAGTGTATACATATATTACATAGTGCGAAACTACCGATCTGGCCAGACCGATCCTCCCCGTCGAAGGATTCATAGTGTTGCGTGTATAGACTAGACTAGCTCTGCAGGCCGAGAGGAGAGCTGCCGAGCTAGTAGTTGAGATCTACCTATCTACCTTACCTTACAGTGGTTCGATTGCTCCAGGTGGATGGACACTTTTCTTAGGAATAGGTACACATACATCATGAGATGGGCAATCTGCGTACTCACTCGATCAAATCTAATCCCTTCATAAGCCGACCGTTTCCTTCATCGGGGGTTAAAGGGATGGATGGTGATCAAGGCCCCGCCACCAAAATGAAAGTACGCACGGCACTGACACTATTAGATGCATGATGTATGTGTATGTATGTCAGTATAGCTTTGCCGCAGTCTACGCGTTTTTCTTTTCACGCTGAACTGAACAATTCCATTCACACCGCAAGTTTGACACCATATGCATGCAGATCCAAGAAGTCCAACCACTGAACTGGAAAAAAAGAAAAAAGAAATCACTCTTTCTGCTGAACTGAAAGAACCCTGAAGCCTCTACGCACGCTACAGTTGCAATGCGATCGCTCATGTCTTGGATCCTTTTTCCCCCATTGTGCCCAGCTAGGAAGCAGTTGCGGAGGCTAGCCCATTGCTGGATGTTCCTCAATTTTGGTAGAAGCCAAGAGAAGATCAGCAAAGAATGCTCAAATGGCATGTTCTAGGAGGTAGTGTTCCCAATGCTTCGTCTTTCGGCGAGAGCTTTCCGAAAAAGAGCTCTTTTCTTCTTCTGGGGCCCGAATAGCCAGCCTCTCGGCTCTGGATCGAAGGAATCGGAGGGTCCTTGTCGGCCGGCTATGATGCCACATTATTGGCGACGACTGCTTCGGCCGCTCCGCATGCACTGTCTCTTCTCTTTGTGCATGGCTATCGTTGTGCGATGGGTTGTGATGTTTGAATCGAAACGGCTCACTCGCGCGTTCGGAAAACTACAACAGCTGACAGGAGTCGATAGAGATTGTCTCCCTTGAGACGAAACCTCAGTGCAGATGCTCATATGGGTGATGCATTCATCGTATAGAGCCACATTCCGAGCACACTCGGGATTCCTTGCTCTTCCTCATCTCATCGTCAAGAGTATAGTGCTCGGTGTGGGCTCGTTCGCTTGGGACATTACGACTGGGCAAGATTTCGCAATATGAGTGGACGCATATGAGGAGTGCATTGTCGGAATGCAGGACAAACGTATTACAGGGCAATAAGCAGGATAAAGACTTCTGATAATAGAAGGTAAGGAAGAGTCGGGGGGCAGCAAAAGGAGAGTCGATCTGTTTCTGTCTTGGCAGTCCAGCTTATTAAGATTTTGAGAACAGTGTCACGTCTCCCTTCCCTACTCCTTTCCTCCTCTTCTCCATTTCCCTCTCCTTCTCCCCCTCATTCTGCCATCGATCAGACGACATTTCAACCTACAAACTGTTCATCGCGACATCAACGATCGCTTGTGCTTAGACATGTACTACATCGTCCATCCTCCAAACAGTCTGGCTCGAATCCATTTTACGCAACGATATTGGAGTCTGGTTTCTTCCAATGGATCCGAATGGTTCGAACCAAACTCCGTTTGCGTAGAGGGCGAACGAAACATTAAAATTCCCCATTGAGCATTTGAAAGAATCATGATGAGCAATCTAGCGTGTTGGAGTGTCGAGTGAGCTTGCACTCTATGTCAGCTTTTGTCTTCCGGCACGTCCGCGAGAACTATTGCCCAGCTTTGCTCAACTCAATCCGTCTGTTCGTGGTTCACAACAACTTCGATGATGCGTATGGGCAATGAAAACTGTGAGACATGGCAATGCATGGCCAATCAACACCTCGCCATGCTGCTGAATCACCAAGTAAAGCAGCCAAGAAGCTGGATGGAGGCATACGGAACCTCGCCATGTTTCTGGAGTCGACAATTAGTGCCAATGAAGCATCATCAATGAGCCGCTCATCGGAATCTATGTGATATATATGAAGGACTACTTGCACAAGCATGTTTAAGCTCTTCCTCACGACGCAACCACTTTCGCTCATTAAACGACAGACCAACGAGTCGCGAAAACCTCCCATCAGACACACAAGATGCAGATTATCACTGCTATTCTCGCCATTGCTGGCGCTGCTGCCGCCTTGCCGGGCGGAGGTCAAGGCGACAACTCCTACCCACCCAGCTATGGCAATGGCGACCCTAATGCCTACAGCGGTCCAGTGTGTGTCACCAAGAGCACTTGCAACGCCGTGTACTTCACCACGACCAAGCAAATGCCATACAAAGACACGGTGACGGTCACGAAGACGGCGTACAAGCCCAAAGTGTTCACGACCTATGTGCCAAATGCTTACGTGACGACTAAATACCGTGCGGCAGTCCAACTCATAGATCATTCAACGCTCACGCTGACGCTACACAGTCCCCAGTGCATACACTGTCACCAAGCACGTTCCGGTCGTAAAGACCGTCACAATCCCAGATCATTCCACCAAGGTCATCTGCAAGACTATCACTATCCCGTTCAACCGCACCTCGACTCATGCCACCTACTCGGCTAGCATGTGCCCGGAGACCACGCAAGTGCCCAAGACAGCCATGTAAGTACTTTCCTGCTGTCCACTTGAACTGGAAACAATCGCAAGACACTAATAATTGGGCTTTCAGAATCTCTTCGTACGTCCCCAAAGTAGTCACCAAGAAGTCTGCATTCGCATACAAGACTGTCATCACCAACAACCGCTACTCCGCCTCTGTCTGCACCGAGAGCTCAAGCACCTGTTCCTACGCTACCTCGTGCTCCGCCCAAGCCTCCAGCTCGCACAAGAACGTCTACCCTGCATCGGACCCACCGGTGTATCAGCCTCCATCGAAGCCCACCTACAAGGCTTGAAGTTTCCCGCTCGGTCAGAGGTCTACCACTCCTCTGAATACAGTTCGGGGACCTTTCCACTGAAAGGAATGGGTAGCATATGGATGATGTTAGTAGTATGGTTGAGAGTAGTAGTAAGGTGCGAAATGTGTATATCTTAATGGAGGGTCCTGATTCCAGGTTGGAAACACGATATCTTTTGGCGGACTCATGTCTTCGGACGGGGGAGTGGACAAGGTAGTATATGAGTCATAGTAGTAGTATATAGCAAAAAGCACGATTCTAATGTTTATTAGAACGGACCTCATTCCTGTCCCCTACCCTCTTCGCTAAGTCGACGAAACGCCTTGCTAAGATGTATAAGTCTTTCAATAGCACTTCATTGTCGTTAACATCTATCTATCTCTCTCCATAGGTTTCCGGAAACTCGTCAATGCCTTATCATTGCACTATAGCGCCCAATCTCGGACAGCCGGGAGGATCGCATAGGTATAAGAAGACTTCACTTTACATTCAACTAACTTGACCTGTGCAGATCTAGGTATCATATCTACCCCTCACACAGATCATAGTAGGGCAACAACAAACAAACAGAAAGATAAGATACCTAGGTAGGTACTTATCTCCGAAACTAGGTAAAAACAAAGATTTGACAGAGAAGACAAATCCCTAGGATGTACTAGGAGGAGGTATTAATGAAATTCATTATATAGCAATTCTCGACCCCAGCCCAGCCCTCCCTACTTCCCTCGGCAGAAGGGAAGAAAACAAAGAAGAACAAAAAGTAAAATAAACTCTGTTGACTAATCTTTCGGGGAAAAGAGGTCACCTCACCTTCCAAATCAGGGTTGATGTCATGGACGCTCACTGGTTCGATCAATTTGCGAGAGAAAAGTAGGTACATTTGTACCTACCCTCCTAGGAGGTATCTCCCCTCCGTATGTGTGTTGAAAGTTCCCTGAATCGTGCAATGAGAGTCTAGAGCTTTTTGACTTTTTGTCCCCCACACAGAAATTGGTTGTTTGTTCCCGGTCGAAAGGGTAAGAATAACCACTGACGATGACTAAATATTTTGTGTGAATGATGTCTTTTGTTTGGCTAGATTCTATAGAAGCTGTTGGCAGGGCATTTATATATCTTCTTTTTTGATTTTTTTTTTCTTTTCGGTTCGTGATTGTGGCTATAGAGAGGTTTTTTGTACATCTTTCTATTTTGTTGGGTTTGCCTATTACTGGTCTGTCTGTTTGGCTGTCTGATCAGGAAAGATTTGGAAAGATGACTTCGGTAATTCAATATGATTATGGTGCGTGGTGGAAGTGAGATTGAGATCAAGATTGAGATCAAGATCGCGATCAAGATCAGATCAGATGAGATCAGATCAGATCGCAACATCACATGTGCACCAGGTACTGATGAAAGGAATTCCCCACAGATTTCTCCCCCTATGGCCAAAAGACAAGATTACTCCTTCACGTCGCAGGCGTTGACTACGCATTAGCTGAGACGTCCATGCTCCTGCCCCGGCCAGCTTTGGAAGCATTGGGAATCACATATCGGCGAATCCCCGTCGTTGCCATTGGCAAAGACGTGTACGTGGACAGTTCCAAGATTATCGATACTGCACTCAGCACGTTGGGGAAACTTCCACAGAGTCCGGCAGACAAGGCTTTTGAGGTCTACGGGAACAATCTTTTTGCGGAGGCGCTTTCTCTGATTCCGTTGGAGATGCTCAGTCCGGACTTTGTGAAAGATCGCGAGACGGTGTTTCCTGCTTTGTCGAGGTCGGATCTCAATACTCTCCGCCCGAGTGGACTGGCGCAGTTCAAGTCTCGGTTGCATGAGATCGAAACGAAGATTCTGACCGGATCGAGTGGACCGTTCATTAATGGGAGCCAAATCAGTCTCGCAGATGTTCATGTCTTCTGGGTGATCAGATGGGCTTTCCAGGCTCTGGGCGTTGCAAAGGAACCTGGAATTGACCAGTCTACTTTTCCTAAAATCTTCAAGTTGATCGAGAGTTTGCCGGACCCTGACAAAGTCAAGGCAGCTGCGAAGTCCGTGACACCTGAGGAGGCACATAAGCTTGTGATGGGTGGTCAGTATACGAGTAAGACTGCTGCGACCAGCGTGCAAGATGATGGGACGTATGGTATTGCTGCTGGCACAACAGTTGCTGTGGAAAGTTTCGAGTAAGTTGTTCTTACACGTGAGCGACAAGAAGATCATGAGCTGATATCGAGACAGCTCTGCGCCGGGATCGCATCCCCAATATGGCAAGCTTGTTGGTACCAGCATCGACGAGGTTGTGATCGAGACCGACAGCGGTGTGCGCGTCCACTTCCCCAAGATTGGCTACATTGTACGGAAGTTGTAAGTACTTTGCTGGGAGTATCGTTTTCGACTCAGTGTACTGATCTGCTCACAGGGAGGATGCTCCAGCAAAGATGAAGCTGTAGCAGGGCTTGTGAAGTGATATTCTACGACATTGCTGCCACACATATCTGTCCATACAGAATTGACCCGAGCAGCCTGTCAGGCTGTAGATGATGTCGCGGTGGCGGTGGTGGGAGTAGTCGTGACTTTGCATTTGGCCCTATCCTATATTATGGGTTCAGCAAGCGCATAGACAGCTAGTTCATACGTATCCTTTACAGTCGTGTCGACCCGAGCCCCTGCTGCGCGAGCGAGGCGACTAGTACGAAGCGAACTGCTCTTTGGAGGCGTCTTCGTCCATTATCTCATCCGCCCAGCGAGTTTGAGCTTGCTGAGATAATTCATCCATGAAGTCGTAGACACGTGACGCGGCTAGACCCATATGCACTTATTACCTCCTAGAACATTTACCTCCTCTGTATTGCTGCTACTGCTTACACACGCAACACATTGTGACTAGGTACGAACACGCTTTCAGTGGTCGCGGGCCTCATCTCTTCACAGAGCTGCTGCATTCCCTCGTCATCACTGCGCCGCTGTCACCGACCGCCTGTCCGCCTCCACCGCCAGACATATCGACTCCAACTCGAAGAATCCTTCGATACACATACCACAACATATACCTACCTTACCCTTCGATCCTTCATCCCTCTTCTACCGTTCGTGCCTTGGAGGGCAAGCGCTCTGGCGCTACACCAACAAGGCTACACTAAGAGACCGCCCGGTCAAGGGTCAAGGCGTATAACATGTTGGCTAGTGAGGGCGTGTCTGCTGTCGCGACAGAGATTGAAGAGGACTAGGAAAATCGGCTGGATGAGTATGACACTGAAGTGCACCACTCACGAACTCTTATCCTTGACAATTGCGATAGCTGGATTGCAGTACAGTGCGCAACAACGTGACGCCGCGAGTACTGCGAGTTCTTTGATGCCCACCCGGTGCATTAGTCATCTTCTGGATAACGATACCGCTCAGACCAACAAAATGCTCATGCCGGCCAGAGCGACGAGCCGCGGGAGATCAATCTTCTATGTATGATGATATCTGCGCAAGGTCAGCTTCACTGAACAAATTTGACTGCATTTTGGTAGGTGAAGAGAAGGGTGTTTATCATTAATAGGTCTCGAGCTTCAAGGATGCGAACATCCAAGCTCTAACATTACAATTTGTCTTATCATTTGCTCATGGCTTACTCATGGCTAATAGTCTACAGTGGTAGTATTACACGCTGCCTAGCAATCAATGCTAGAAAGCTCTCCATTCTCTCAAATCCACCATGTCGAGTGTTGCAACCAGAGCTCCAGGCCCGGATGACTTGATTACAAAGATGTATAGTGGCGCTCCGGAGTCGCCAAAGCGAAGGTGTATAAAACGATTGCGTCCAGCGCGTAGAACGTGGCTCAAACGAGCGAGTTGGCCATTTGGAAACCATAAAGCTGATGTCCGGGCCCTGCGCAAACGCGCCTACATCGCCCGTAGGCTCGCCCCATGAGTGGGTCTAGAGCTGATCGAGAATCTCTTCGATGCTCTCTTGCGTTCGTCCCCTTTCGTGTACGGGACCAGCCTGTACTTCATGATCATCTCTTCATCGCTCAGGAACGTGAGCTCGCGATAGAATTGCTTGTTGCTCGGATCTGGAACTCGGTATGTCTTTCCTTGCAGCGCCACTGTTGTAACTGTTTGGCTGGAATATGGTCGTGGCTGTTGTTCATGGTGCTGTCGGTCCGACACTTTAACGCCAAGGAAGTCATTAACAGTTTCGTAGGCGTGTTCTGATTCATCGTCGGGAGCGGCGTGCCAGTGTCCAGATGTGCTTGGGCTGTAAAGAAGGGCCATAGTTGGTGTGATGGTCGAACGTGATCTTGATTTGAGTAAATGAATGTGGTGCGGCAAAGCAGATTCGAGGTCGAAATCGGAATTATTACGTTTGGCTGAAGAGAAGAGCGAAAAGGTCATTCGGGTTGGATTGCGCGCAGAAGTGGTTGATCGGGTCGATGTCTGGAGCTGCAATCGGCGCTTGCACGGAGTACTTATGTCTCCTGCGCCGCGCCACTGATCGACGACCCTGCCTCGGGAAGCTCCAACGGTGCAACGCGTGACATGTTTCACAGTTTCACTTCTCGGGTTGCCAAGCCTCTCCCGCCACTCTCGCGGTACCGCTTTCGAGCCTGACGGGCCTATAGCAGCTATCGCCATTCCGCTTAAGGGCATCCAGATTGCAGCAGAAGCACATTTCGGGCACAAGCTCAGAAGCCGGCTCCAGTCCAACATGATTCCCTGTGTCCAGACACAGATATCGAACGTCGCCGCCGCCTCTCATCACAGGGACAGCCAACGGCATATTGCATGCATGCAGGCTTCGCGACGTCTAACCACGGCTCCTCTCTGACACACACCCCCGTGCGTGTATCATATCTCTCTTCCGCGGTGGTGCGGCGGTGCAATTACCACGTACCTCTGTTTTCATGCAGCGCAAAGGAAACGGTGAAAGGGCCACCGCAGATTGCCTCAGGCTGCTATACCATACCTGACCATTCATGCTTCAACCTTGCACCAGTGTTCTCCTGTATACTAGGAACACCTGTGATCTATGTGCTCAGTTGTGCTGAAGACAAAAGTTTGTGGGTAAACACTGCACTGTGGTCTCATCAGGCGGTGTCCTACATACTCTCTCTCTCTCTCTCTATACCGGAGAATTATTATTATTATTAGGCAGATGGCAAACCATAATTTTGTGAGAGTTGCCGCCCCCCTAGGAGTCTGTCTTTCTGCTTTGCTCAGTCTGCTGAGTCTGTTCATTGCCCAGAATCTGACAAAGGCGTGTGCCCTTGCCCTTGTCCTGACGACTCTTTTTTAAGTTGTAGACGCTAACATGCGTCAGTCAGCCATGCTCAAGCGTCAACTCACTTTCACGAAAAAAAGGAGATTAATTGCATTGCAACCGCGTCTGTCCTACCGACGTGATGAGATACTTCTTTCCATGGTCTCTCGCGAACAGGTGTAACGTACGCATCCAGCGGTATAGTAGTAGTAAGCGTTCCAGCTAGTGTAAAATTACAGCGTCCCAAAAACAAAAGGTGTAATAGGTAAATCAAGTAGACAAACACTAAGGTCCTTACAGGCTACCAAAGAAAAGCCCTTCCCTAAAAAGACCCTTTTTTTCTAGTTCTAGCGCCTGGCACCGCAATGGTACAGGAAGGTACCAAACGGCACTTTGATACTTCAATACCCGTACCTCTCTACTACCTACTTTCGGAGCTTTCCCTCAAGTTTCTTCTGGCTTCTCCTCCTCCTCCTATAGGCATACGCTCAATCATAATCAAGCAATGAGTCGTGCGTTGTGAATTCTGAAACCACGATGGGAATCAATCATTTCCCTTTTTGGGGGAGGCAGGGGACATTTTTTTTGTTTCTTCCAATCATGGAATCCACACGCGACAAACAGAACTTTTGCTTGACTTTTTTGGAACTTGGCAGGTACCTAGATACAGAACAGACTAGACTACCGCCGGTCTCTCGGAAGACTTTTATTAGACGAAGAAGAAGAAAAAGGGACCCTATAATGACTGACCTATTTATTGCCTAGTACGTTAGTATTGTACGTGGAAAATAAGGATGCAGCCTGCCCGCGCCCGCTTTCGGTACTAGGGGTTTGGATATACCGAGTCTTGCTATAGGTAACAGGTACCTATACATAATGACTGCTATATGGGACTTCTGACTGACTTTGTCAGGCTCGGGTTTGCCCAGTCCTTCGTCTAGTAGCAGGTCGGTAAACGGGATTTAACGGCTGTCACTTTTACTCCTTTTTATCCTACCTCCTACCGTTCTCTTTGTTTTTGCCGCTGCGTGTGTCTGAGAGAGAGAGAGGGCTTGTGTGTGTCTGTTTGTATTTCCCTCATGCAGTCAAAAGCGGTGTCTGCACCTACCGTTTTGATCGAAGCTTTCTTTTCTCTTGTGTTTTACCTCAGTCACCGCTAAATACCGGAAACCGGGCCCTCTCATCTCGAAGTGCGACAGTGTCGCTTTTAATTGGCAATCAGATACGACTTCGCGGTCCAAGTTTTTGGTCTCAGAGCCCGTAATGCGCCTGAATTGGTTTTTTTTTGGTTCAGACTGCTTCAGAGTAAGACTATGTGGTATAATGGTGTCCCTTTTTCTGTTATTGGCAGATGTAACGTCGGCTGAGGCACACTGTTGCGGGACGCCAACAGGATGATATGGGCATGGGAGGGCGTCGGGTGCCACCAAAACGCCCCCTGTGGTATAGCCCGGGCTTGTGTCCGAGCTGGTGCGTCGGCAATCGGGGAAATGTACGGATGACCTGACTTTGCCACACTTATGTAGCATCGTTATAGCGGAACAAAAGAGACGGACTGTGTGTGTGTGTGTGTGTGTGTGTGTGTGTGTGTGTGTGTGTTAGGACAAGGGCTGATTGTGACGAGTGTTAAGGTCCAAAAGCCGGATAACGAGTATGTCGAAGCATTGAAACTTGCTGTGACACACAAGAAACGTGCTGGAGTAACCATACAGGTTTTTACTTACTTCTAAACATCATGCCCACAAGAACCAGTATGCCGTTCACCTGGCACCTCGCTGAAGCCGAACAACTCATGATCAGCGATAGCTCCTTCGAGACTCCTCTCATGAAGCTTCTCAACATCACGCGCAGCTTTCTTCTCCCCTTTAGGAATAATCAGGTGGCCTTCAGACGCAAGCGTAGCAAGTACATGTGCTGCAGCCTTGGCGTTTGCAGTCAACTGCTCCGGGTTCGCATTGCTATAGCCATCGCATTCTTGATGGTAGCAATCATCCTGGGCGACTCCAGTCCCAGTGTGAAGGCCTCCAACAGGTTTGTTCAACGTAGACATGAAGCTCGCGTAGTCACTCCCGCCCGTGAAGACCGCTGGAGTTACGTTGAAACCTTGTCCCGTCAAATGGTCGACGAAGAGCTTTTCGATGACATCGGATCCAGGAGCGCCCACGACACCGTGAGTGTTCCCGTCGCCGTCAAAGACGCCGTAGTAGCCACGAGACACCATGTCAAAGTTCAAGTAAGCCTGGAGCGCCGTGAGTTAGTCATGTGATAGTTGGTGTAAGCTGGAAAAGTAAGGACGTACCACCAAGTTATCGGCCTCCACGGTGTTGTTGATACCAGTCGTATAGTATCTGCTTCCGACCAGGCCATTCTCTTCAGCTCCCCACCATGCAAGGCGAATCTTGTTCTGAAAGCTGGCTTGCTGCAGACCATCAAACACTTCGAGCACCAGCGTCGTTCCAGATCCGTCGTCGTTAATCCCCGCACCCGCTTTCACGGAGTCGAGGTGAGCTCCCATCATGATCACGTTGTTGGGATCACCTCCCAGAGATTCTGCGAAGACATTCTGGGTGATTCTCTCCTCGATGGTCTGAGTATGCTGCAGGTAGCCTTCCAATACTTCACCAGCTTCAAGTCGTGCCTTGAGTGCCTCGCCATCGTCTTGATTGATGAAACCGCTCGGTCTGTATCCAACCGGATCGGGAGCCGATAGAGTGCCACCGGTCACTTTGGTGGGCACGTTGTTGTATAATATGACACTATTCGCACCTGCCGACACAGCAGCTCGAATACGACCTGCAATGGTGGTATTATCCGGGCATGTGCCACGCTGTACAAGGACCATCTTGTCCTGCACATCGAGCCCACTGTAGCCAGCTACAGTGCATGCCGTCGTACCGTTAGGGCCGAGGACGAGCGGTGCAGTGATGCCATCAGCGCCAGTGGAAGGTGAATATGTCGGTCCGAAAACGTAGTATTCTGTGTCGCCAACACGGAAAGTGATCGAAACCACATCGTTGTACAATGCCGGGAAGTCCTGAGTCCACGCCTTCCATGTCGTTGAATTCCCGACCTTGGATAAGACGAAGTCTCGCGAGGCATCATATCCTGGCAGTCCGAAGGCGCGGTTTCCTCCATTCGCTTTGGCAATGTCTTCTAGACTCTGGAGATTTTGCATTAAGCTGTTGAATGTTAGGACATATCACTGGGTCGCCAGATATGCACGACTGACCCTTCTGTAGTGATCGAGCGCTGCAACTGTTCGGACAACAGCTTGGAGGCTGCCGACTCCCAACTTGAATTGCCAGTGCTTGTTCCATACTCCTGTGCTCTGGCGAGCAAAGCCGCTGAAAGCGCGCCGACTAGTGGCGAGGACTTCATGATACGAGCGAGATATGACTATGAGATGACCCAACCTCGATGGGCGGCCTGACTTACATATAGGCTCGTCTCCAGAGCGATCACCATCTCTCGGACTCGCATTCCCACTAGAGCCTTGTCCTGTCCACCAAGCACTGGCAGTGTAGCACTCCGTAGTTTAAGTGCAGCACACCAAGGAATGCCAAGAGATACTGGACAGCGACCTTCTCCATCGGGTTTGCCAACCGGAGGTGTATCTGCGGTACTGCGTCGCGTACAGACGGCATGAGGGGGCTTATAGGAATTGCAGAAAAACGCCCAGAGCGATGTGCAGACTTGCAGGGCGTCATCTCAGACACGGGGCCGGTCTCAATTTATGCCAAATCAAGATCGAGTCGCGCTCTTCCGATGTTTATCCCTTAATGTTCGCCATGTTGGCATACCTTGACACCTTCATCTAGAGTTCTGGACTGACATAATAGATGACGCTGCTGGTCGCCTCGGGGCCTTTCAACAACCTAGAGTGTGTTTGATGGAACGGGAGTGCCCAGGTCCTTCAGGACTCAGAAGAAAAGGATACACCGTACACTTCAGAAGTTCAGTCTTCAAAAGAACGTGAATGCAGAGGTCTTGGCGGCAAAGACTAACGACATCAAACATTATGTAAGCGCTTTTGTTACAGGCTTAACTGCAATTCGGACCGCCGTGAATCCGTGATGGTCTGGTAGGCATTCTCTCGCTAGGTGTATATCGAAAAGCGGAAAGCCGACGAGCTGTTTTTTCGCAAAGTTATAATTCCACGATGTTACATCTCAAGAGCCTGCTGGCCCCTTGAGGAAGCAAGGTAGACGACTAGCAGCGCTTCTCTCGAGATACTCGCATCTTCTAGAACATCACATCTTCAAATGCAGCGGAGAATGATCACCTTGGTATGTTGAGACATTTTTGACGACCGGGGCTTTCTCCATCAAACGCTCTGCCTCTTGTGTGTGGTCTATTCTCATCATCGCTTCTCTCCAACAGATGATCCATGAGATTTGCAAGCTCTCCTAAATCAAGGGAGCCCAGAACGAGACGCTGTGTCCTCGGTTATACCATTGAATGGCACTCGAGTACGATGCTGCGTCCTCGCGTATACTGGCAGGGTATACTGAGTCGCAACTGACTGCGATGCCGTGATCGGTGGCCGAATGATGGCGCATCGTTTCTTCGAGCTGCTTTCGGCCCTTGGGCAGATGTACACATGTCGCTAACACTCAACGAGGCTTGCGTTGGCAGTATGACATGGCTTGAAACTGGCGATGTCGGCTTGCGAACGTGCATTGGTAGTCATGGTTGTATCGCAGCACAACTTGAATGTAGCTCTCCTCCTGATCATCCGGCAGGCACAGCCCTATATCCTTCCCTCCACCTCGTCCACCATGGCTTCACAGTTGCCCAAGTCAACAAGCCCAGGGTGGCCACAATAAAGATCCAGACGACAAGCTGATCCTTCACACTATCGCGTTGGAAACATGTCGTAAAGACATTCTCTTCTTTCACCCCAGCGCATATAGGCAGATTGTATGAAAGACAGAACTGCTTATTGCAATCTGCACAGGTTCTGCCGTGGACTCTGTTTTCGGCGCCGTCGGTAGGGAGGATATCGCGAGGAGATAGGGCCAGGGCGAGTTGTGGTTCGTCGCGTAAGAAGAGTCGCTTCGAAGATGTTGAAGGCGCAGTAGGCTTATCGGCCGAGGGAGGAGCATCGAGGGGAATGATGGTACTGTTGGTGTTACAGGTGCATTTGCAGAAGGATGTTGGTGCTGCAGAGGGTGAGCAGCTGTGGTAAGACAGTAGTAGGAGTTCGGCGCAGGGAGGAATGGACTTACATGCTGCGAGGGAGAAAGAGAGGAAGGAGAGGAAGAGAAGGATGTATTGCCAGAGAGGTCGCTGTCGGGTCATCTTTGTCGTTGGGATATAAGATAGATGTTTAGTACATGTGGGTTTAATAGCAGCATGGAGTAGGTGTCTTCACATGTAAGCACGGCAAGACCCGATGAGCTCTCCAGTAAACCTAGGTAATTTTTCAGCCCACTCCTCTCCCTCTCTACCCTCTCTCTTACACACACTCACACCCAAAATGCTTCCTATAGGGACACAATGACAACCGAAGCGCGCACCCGACTGCACATTACGCCCTTCAACCAGGAACTACTCCAGCGCTATCTTCCTGCATCCGTGCAGCCGCTTGCGACAGATATCTCATTCCACGCTGTCGAGACGTTCCCCGAGCGAGGCTTCGGCTACGTTGAGCTACCTGCCAGTGAAGCGCTGAAATTGAAGAACAAGCTCAACGGTATGACGTTGAAGGGCTCGAAAGTCAAGATCGAGGAGGCCAGGCCGCAGAGGAAGCGAAAGGGCAGGGAGGAGGCCGAACCAGAGCAGGCGCAGGACGGCAAGGCAAGGAAGAAGGTCAAGAAGGAAAAGACAAAGCGCAAACATGGTGAACTGGTCCTTGAAGGCCACGAGCTGCCAGATGGTCGGCATATCAAGCGTGGATGGACGGAAGACAAGACCAAGTCGAAGAAGACTAGCAAAAAGGACGATACGATCAAAGACAAGAAGCTCAAGTTCAAAACGGTTGTGCCTCCAAACAAGATCGAGGTGGAGAAAGAAGGTGTGAAGAAGTCCAGAACGAAGGAGAAGAAGGATGAAGAGGAGAAGAAATCTGGGCGCAAACAGGTCGTGGTGACCGAAGGAAAGAAGAGTTCGAGGCCTGCTGCTGGTGGGAAGGCAAGAAAGGGCGAGTTACAGTACGAGGAGGGCCGAGGCTGGGTGAACGAGGAAGGCGAAGTGGTCGAAGCGGAGACCGAAAAGCAGAAGAGGAAACGGGAGCGCAAGGCTGCGAAGAAAGCTGCCGAAGAGTCTGCGCCAAAGCCCGTTGTGGAACAAGATGCCATCATTGCAGAAGCGTCTGAACTCGACTCTGAGCCCGAAGATGAGGGCACAATCGAGCTCGCACACGCCAGCTTGCCGACCCGCGAGGCGTGGTCAGGCGACGACGATACAGCGTCAAGTTCGACGGTCTCGTCCGTCTCATCAGTCTCTTCAGACTCGGATTCTGAATCTGAAACCGAGCCAGAATCAGATGGCGATACAGAAGCTGGGCTCGACAGACAACTTGCCCAAGCTCGTTCCAATACAGTCTCGAACAAGAACACGCAGACTCCGGAAGCCATTTCTCTCCCGGTTGGAGATGTGCAAGAGAAGGAAGTTCATCCTCTTGAAGCACTCTTCAAACGCGCTGCGCCAATTACTACGGACCAATCGCCCAGACCCAAACCCGCACCGATCGATACCTCGTTCAGTTTCTTCGAAGCTGGAGGCGACGTAGATGAAGACGATGTAGGTGCCACGGCGGAGCTTCGCGTCCCGCAAACACCTCGGACGAAGGAAGATCTTGCGTGGAGAGGACAGAGATCTGCTGCGCCTACGCCCGATACTGCTGCCATTGGGAAAAGATTTGATTTCGCTTTTGGGCAAGATCAGGACGAGCATGACAATGACGAGGACGACGACGAGGATGATGATGAAATGGCGGATGTCGACGGGTTGCAGCAGGCAAAAGGCGGTGCTACGCAAGAGGAGAGCGAGTTCAGGAAGTGGTTCTACGAGAATCGTGGTGCGTTGAATCGAGGGTGGAAGAAGCGGAGGAAGGATGAAAGGAAGAGTTTGAGGCAGAGGGAGAATCGAAAGATAGGGAGACGAGTGGCTTAGAAGACCATAGGTACCTGTATCCAAATGGGTATCGAACAGCCTGATGGACATGAAACATCCCGCTTGGAGAATCCCATCCACAATCGCCATAACCAATCAAAGCTTTGAAAAGCAGGACAAGACCATTGTTCATAAGATGATCATGACGAAGCACATTCGACTGATGACTGCAGGTGCCTCTGGAGCGAGGGCTTTGGTGAACTGGAATTGAGGTATTCAAGAGGGGTGATTATTTCGAGAGTCAGTATCGTGGCAGCTTGTCGAAGATCTGTATGTCTTGTTTGACGCATTCTTCTCCCTTTGATATGTCAGGCTCCGATTGAGAGTGGTGGTCCAAAGGTTACCATGTAGGCATATATCGGTCTACACAATTGAGCAATTGACTCGATCCTGTCTCTCATCTTCTGCCAAGGTCGATATCGAGGACTTGTGTCATCTGCTTGTCGCATGCAACATCTTTTTCTGTGTGCAATCCCAAGAATGGTTTTATCGCCGTGTCAGTAACGCCTTCTAATAATCCGCGGATGATATCCTGCAGCTCGTTGCCCGTCTGGGCGAAGTCTGGAAACGCGTTGACTTCGAGCAACCAGGCGGTACCATTGTCGTCAATCAAGAAGTCGAGACCGAAGATCTCGAAAGCGTTGGGTAAAGGCTGAAAGTGGATGCTCATACTTCGCGCCGCGGCCTCGAAGATTTCCCCTGTTACTGAGCAGATCTGCTTGTACACATCCTCTTTCCACGTGGTGCTCAGCTTGCCGCTCACATTGTCCGGTAGTGACCAGAAGGTGTGTACGCTGCCTTCTCTGGACCCATCTTGGAGACAAGTATTGGTAAGATGACTGGACAGGTCTTCGTTTGGCGACGCAGACGCTGACGGCTTGGCGTACAGTTCTCCTGCAAACAATGCAAGCATCGGTTTGTAGACATAAACCTGCAGCGCCCCTACTGCGAGAACATACGTGCGGACATGAAACTTTCGACCTCCCGAAGCATGGGCTTCGGGCATCAGGAGTGGTGCGCTGATATACGGTTGGGCAATGAAATGTCGCAGCTGAGAAGCCATTACTCCATTACCATCCTCATTGACATCGCTATGACCGTCGTGAGATGTGGCATCTTCCTCTTCATCATCATCATCTGAAGGAGGATCCCACTCCTCGAAGATGCTCGTGAGCTCCTCCTCAGAACTGAAAAGTCGTATGCCTTGACCACGATCGCTCATACCAGGTTTTAAGATCCACCACTCCCGAGCCGGGTCGTCTTCACCCCGAGCAGCATTACGAGTCCAGCTCTCCTTGAGTTCATAGGCTTCTATCAAAGCATCATCCAAAAACTCGGCATAGTCGACCTCGAACTCCACACTAGGTTGAATGTGATGTCTCAGCGCAGAGTCTGGATGTTTTGTCAACCAGTGATTGACCGTGTTAGATAGATAATGCTTGCGTATCAGAGCCTTCCTGATGATGTAGCTATTGGCCACACTAGTCGACGAATTGGCCATCAGATGATCGAAGTCGATGCTCTCGTATTGTCGCCATTGAATGACTCTGGCATTTGGACTAGGCAATTCAGACATGTCCTCGATGAATACCAGTAGTTCGACTGGCAGCTTCGCCTTGAGCATGGCCAGTAAGAGTGGCTGCACATAGCTATCCTCATAGTTCGCAAGCGCGTAGAGTTTGGAGATGTTTTTGTCCGCTTCTTGGTCTGCTTCAGTGCTGTGAGCCATTGGTCGGATGTGGTACTTCGGATGTTGTTCAAGAAGCACGGTGGCCGACGGGCGCTGCTGTTGTTGCCGGAGTCGGTGGCGCAAGTCAAGGTTAGCCGATCCCAGTGGTAAGTAAATTATGAGACGACGGGACAGAAACTGCTGGTTACAGTATTCAATATTGTCGTGGCTGCTTCAGAACCAGTTCGGCGAAAAAATACCAATCCACAATTTTCGATAGCCCCCCACCCCCCCCCCC